TTTTGTTCTGAACTACAAGTTGTCTGAATTTGGGCCGATCGGATGATCATACAAATTCCCGAACTCCAAGCCAAAAATGTAGGCAAATCAGAAACTAAATGAAACACACAATGGAAAAACATATTCATTGTGATTCGGGATTCTGAATTCCGTCAATAGCGCTAATTTAATATTTATTTATTTTTTAAACTAAAAAAAAAACAGGCTTTAAATGTTGACTTTATTTAAAGATAACGTGAGAAAGAAGGGACTAATAAAGGGAGAAAGAGGAGCAGAAGAACATGTATTATATATTTATTAAATATAGAATACACAAGCATAGATGTGTTTTAGATATATATATATATATGGAGGAGCAGTAAAAAAATCTATATTTCTAATATATATATATATATATATATATATATATATGAAAAATATAATAAATACATGTTTTACTGTTCCTCCTCTTTTTAGCTCTATTGTTTAATGTTTTTCTTACTGGATCTGTGAACCAAATAGCAGCAATGCAATGCAAAATATTTACATATTATTTATTCTTTGTATATATTTTGTAGAACACTGACTGGCCCATTTTCTTGCCCTTTTGGTTCATCAGATTTGTTTTCCCAAATTTTATTTGTATGAAATCCTGACAACAGATGACAGATATTCGGCTGTCCAGAAAAACACTTTACTCAGATTTTTTTTACAGTGCAGACTCTACTTCACATTTAGTCATGTTGTCTTTTTTTTCTATTACAAGACTGCCATCTAGTGTTTGTTATTCTGTACTTAAAATATGATGGACAGTGGGTAAGTGGAGTCTGAATCCTCAAAGTTCCGTTCTAGCTAAATAACACATTTGGACGTATGAGCAGTAATCCAAAGCATTGATACAGGGTACTTGCAAATCCTCATTGAATCTTACTCATTACGTTCCAAATTTATCTGGCAGATGATATGTAGCATTCAAGAGCATACAACAAATATATCCATTAAAGAGTATACAATAATGAAGCTAGTAAATCTTAATACACAATGCTATAATTTCAGCACAATTGCTGAATTCCTCTCCTTTAGTCTGTGGATTCCATCACTAAAGCTTTAGTGCATATAATATTCTTTGTCCAAATAATTGTTAGAATCCAAAATATCAGAAGGGATCCATTTCTGATTTCTTCCAATTTCACACTTTTAGAATTTTTCACTAAAGTGAACATTTAAATCTATGACCAGATTAGCTGAACTTATTTATTTCCAATTTGGCTAATTTGACCTTAAAGGAACACTATAGGGTCAGGAACTAAAACATGTATTCCTGACCTTATAGTGTTAAAACACCATCTAGCCCCCCTGGAGTCCCTTGCATCTCTAAATATAGTAAAACCTTACTTGTATTCAAGTCTGCAGTGCTGCCTCTGATCTTCCTGCATGGATGACATCATCAGAAGTGGTGGTCTGAGTCAATCACAATGCTTCCCCATAGGATATGCTGAGACTATCAAGGAGGTAGATCAGGGGCAGTGCCAGCACAAGTCAAACACAGCCCTGGTCAATGAGCATCTCCTCATTGAATTGAATCAATGCATCTCTATGAGGAAAGTGCAGTGTCTCCATGCAGATGGTGGATACACTGAATGACAGTGCTGCACAGTGTACAGCACTACCCTGGGAGGCACCTCTAGTAGCCATCTGAGGTGTGGCCAGTGGAGTTATCACTAGGCTGTAATGTAAACACTGCATTTCTATGAAAATACAGTGTTTACTGCAAAAAGCCCAAAGGGAATGATTCTTCTTACCAGTACAAATACAATAAGCTGTAGTTGTTCTGGTGACTATAGTGTCCCTTTAAATTTAAATCATCCTGTATATGAAATATATAATACCATCATGATTCTCTCTGCACAATCTCTTGATACACTGGCAAAAGTATCAGTAGCTTTCGCTTACCATTGGATGTTCTATCTCCCTTCCAAGATCACTGAATAGTTTTGGCATTACCTGCAGACAATATTATTATTATCATTTATAAAGCGCCAACAAGTTCTGTAGCGCTGTACAATGGGTGGACTAACAGACACGTATTTGTAACCAGACAAGTTGGACGCATAGGAACAGAGTGATTGAGGGCCCTGCTCAATGAGCTTACATCCTAGGGGGAGTGGGGTATAGTGACACAAAAGGTAAGGGTAGGGTAGAAAAGTAGGTTGCTAGGATAGTATTCATTGAGGGCTTAGTGTTTTGTTTTGATGACAGTTACAGTAGAGGAATCAGGGTGCGGGGAGGGAAAGCTGTTTAATTGATATGCTTTCCTAAAGTTTTCAAAGATTTAATGAAGGAGTGGAGATTGGTGCAGCTCTAGAGAAGTCTTTAAGGTGAGCTTTAGAGGTAGGAGTACGAACAGAGGCTAGACGTAGGTCTCCGACAGAGCGTAGGGGCCTAGATGGGACATATTTGTGTATTAGTGAGGATAGATCGGTTGGAGCACCATTGTTTAGAGACTTATAAGCAAGTATCAGGATCTTAAACGGAGTCCTATATCTTATGAAAAGCCAATGTAGGGACTAACAAAGGGGTGGGGGACATGGGAGCTGTGGGAGGACAGGAAGATGAATCTAGCCGCCGCATTAATTATAGACTGTAATGGGGCAAGTTAGGAAAACGTAAGACCAATAAGAAGCAGATTACAGTAGTCAAGGAGAGAGAGGACAGTGGCATGGACAAGCAACTTTGCCGTATACGGTGTTAAATAGGGTCGGATGCGCACAATGTTTTTGAGATTGAATCGGCATTATTTGGCGATTGATTGGACATGAGGGGTGAAGGAGAGGTCGGAGTCAAAGAGAACACCTAGGCAGCGAGCCTTAGAGGTATAACACATGGTAGCACCATTGACTTGGAGTGATACATAAGTTCTGTTTTGGACAGGTTAAGTTTAAGGAAATGAGCAGCCATCCAGTTGGAAATAGCAGAGAGGCAGTCAGAGACACGAGTCAAGAGGGGTGGTGAGAAATCAGGGAAGGGCAGATAAATTTGCGTGTCATCCGCATAGAAATGATACTGGAAGCCAAAGGAGCTGATGAGTTTACCAAGGGAGGAAGTGTAGATTTAGAACAATAGGGGACCAAGGACAGACCCTTGGGGCACACCAACAGAGAGGGATTGGGGAGAAGAGGCAGAGCCAGAGAAAAAAACTGAATGAGTGCTGGGGGAGGTAGGAAGAGCACCAGGAGAGAGCGGTATTTCGTAGACCGAGATTACGGAGGATGAGAAGAAGCTGTTGATGATCAACAGTGCCAAAAGCAGCAGAAAGGTCAAGGAGAATTAAGATAGAGTAGTGGCCAATAGGATTTAGCAGCCATAAGATCATTGCATACTTTGGTCACAGCTGTTTCAACAGAGTGACGAGCGCGGAATCCAGATTGAAGCGGGTCAAGCAGAGAGTTGGAATCGAGGAAGTCTGTCAATCTCGCATACACAACTCTCTCTAGGATCTTGGAGACAAATGGCAGTAGCGACATAGGGAGGTAGTTAGATGGGGAATTAGGGTCAAGGTTGGGCTTTTTCAGAATCTGGGTTATGGTTGCATGTTTGAAGGGTAGAGGAAATGTGCCAGAGGAGAAGGAGAGATTGAAATTTTTAGTGAGAGGCAGAGCAAGAGAAGGAGACAAAGTGCGGATGAGATACGAGGTAATAAGATCGAGGGAACAGGTGGTGAGGTGGGGGAACAGAGCAGAGACCTCTTCTGCTGAAGTAGGTGCAAATGAGCATAGGACAGCTGAGGGAGTGTGGTTAGGGGAAATGTTGGTAGTGGATGGAGAGAGATGAGAGATCTCTTCCATGATTCTAGAAATCTTCTCAGTGAAGTGAGTTGCAAAGTTTGTGGCGGTTAAGTTGGTAGGAAGAGGAGGCATGACAAGGAGAAGAAGAGAGTCAAAAGCATGAAACAGTCCTTTGTCCTTTGTATTGAAGTAGTAGGAGGTGCCATGATGTCTAGTTGAGAGTGGAGTTGTAGAGGGAGGTTGCAGCGGTAGGGCAGGTGAAATTTGAGATGGGTGGAAGGAGACTTTGGAGGTTGGTGGAGAATGCTGTAGGTAAAGACAATGGAGGTTTCTGCAAGACTGATGTGGTGAGTACTTTGGGTACGGGGTATGCGGATGTCAATGGACAGCAGGTGGTGGTCAGATAGAGCAAATGGAACATTGGAGAGATTAGAGGTGGTAGAGAGATTGGCGAAGAGGTCAAGAGTGTTTCCTGCTCTATGAGTTGATGAATTAGACCATTGTGTGAGTCCAACGGAGGAGGTTAAAGAGAGCAGACGAGAGGCATCAGGGCAGTTAGTGCTGTTTATTGGGATATTAAAGTCCCCAACAATGAGGGAAGGAGTGCTAGAAGAGAGGAAATGGGGTAGCCAGGAAGAAAAGTGTTCAATGAATAGCCTAGGATGACCGGGGGGGTTGGAGATTAATTCTGGCAATTCTTAGAGAAGTGGGTTTAAAGAGACGGACAATGTGAACTTCAAAGGAAGTAAAGGGCAGGGAAGGGAGGATAGGTTGAAAGGTACATTTAGGGGAGAGAATGATGCCTACACCACCTCCTTTACAGTTGTTTGGTCTGGAAGTGTGGGAATTGTAGCCCACCATAATGTAAGGAAGTAAGAGTAGCAGTATCAGAGGGGCACAGCCAGGTCTCAGTGAGTGCAAGAAGTGGGAAATAATTTGAGATGAAGAGGTCATGTATGGCTGTTGATTTTATATTGCTGGTTGACTAAGTGCTGTTCTGATGTGAGGCAGGGAAGTTTTAAATTTAGACTGTGGGAGAGATAGGTAAGAAGGTCAAATAGGCCTGCAACAAAACTAGGGAATAGGAAGATTCAGAGATGATGATGATATGAGAGTTATTCAAATAAAAACAAACATACATTTGGGTATGTACCAATAAAAGAAGGGGAGGCAGATATCACAGAGGAATATGCATTATCTTTATAAAATTATAGATATGACATGTTTAACATTATCCTACATGCAAAACTTGGTTAGTGAAAATGATCTTGGGCTGGATAACGGCTGATTTTGACCCAAGTTCACTCACAATGGCTGACAACACTTGGCAAAGAGGAGAAGGAGGTTTGAGGTTTACACACAGTGTAAGTAAGGGGTGTACCGACGAATATTTAAGCTGTCATATAGTAACAGACAAAATCCCCCTTATGAACAAAGCACTAGACTTACAAGTCAGTTTGATTCCAGATGTATAGTTTATCTTTATTTGGAGATTCATGTAGAGGATGGCATAATTAAAAGTTGTAAACACTTCAAACATATGGATGCTACGACCAACTGATATAAAGTAGAAGTAATTATCCATTTCGGTTTAACAAACTTCATGGGGGGGAAATAATGGCGATGGTCTGCCTGGTTTAAAGAAAAGGCCTGTCCGAACAATATTGTAATGTAAAAAACAAATAAGGAAGTATCTTATAAAAATTAAATTAGATTTAACACATGGAGAATTAACAGAGACTTAAAACAGATGCCATGTGAGAATTATACTTCGATACCAGTATTATTTGACGTTAATGAAAGGAATAAATATATACGGTAATACAGATTGTTGATGGACATTTAAAATTTCTATTAAAAGACAAGGATCTAAAAATTTCACATACAAAATCCTCATATTACTTTATGAGTAGTACAAAGTTGATCAATAAGATGAAAATTAAAAGATGAAGCTCCTTATGAATAGTGGACAGGGTTCTTTGCATGCAATCAGTGCCAGGGCTGTATATGTAATAGGATTAACACACTAACTGTTTATTTATAAATGGATTGTGAGCACATGTACAATATTCAAACAGGGTATGAATAGTGGTTCAGCATAATTGAATTATTGTCATGGTAGGGACCAATTTTGGGTTATTAAAAAGTAAATAAATGTTTGAGATGGGAAAACCAACTTCAAAATATGCCCATTAATAGGGAACACGTCATTCAACTGTGGAACCGCAGAAGACCATGTGTTTGTTTCTACAGACAGAGGTTGTTCATAGAGGTTGAAAACAGCGACAATATGTTAATGTGAGATTTTCGTGTGTATTTCTTTTAAATAAATATGTATACCCTACAAACATTTGTTTCTCCATCAGTTTCCTCCAAGATCGGAAATGTGTTGACGTAGAGCAGTAATATCATTCATATTAGATATCTGTTTGAGCTAGAGAACATGATGTCCAGCTCTCCCAACTGGTAAATCCAGCAATGTAACCCAGACAACTTATACCAAAACAGCATCAATGTACACAATATATTAACATTTAACCCAAAATGATACCTACCATCAAAACTATAGATAAAACATAGAATAAACTAGAATATTGTTGCATAATATATTTAGTACTCTGCCCACAAAACAACCTATGGCCTCAATGTAATAATATTTCCAAATGATGCAATATAGTAAGAAAAACTTTCCAAATTATTCATCTACAAAAATTCCCACAGACATTAATAGTGACTTTTGTAAATAAATAATTTGGAATTTTTTCTAACAAAATTATATAATTTTGAAAATGTATTAGAGGCCACTGTGAGTGACCAGGGGTGCAAATGCCCAACCACATCTCTTGCCAGGCCACAGCTGACTATTAAATTTTAAAGGACCACTATAGTGCCAGGAAAACATACTTGTTTTCCTGGCACTATAGTGCCCTGAGGGTGCCCCCACCCTCAGGGTCCCTCTCCCGCCGGGCTGGATGGAGAGGAAGGGGTTAAACTTACCTCTTTCTCCAGCGCTGGGCGGGGAGCTCTCCTCCTCCTCTCCTCCTCTTCGGCTGAATGCGCATGCGCAGCAATTCACAATGCTTTCCTATGGACGCTGGTGTGTTGTCACTGAGAAAATCACAGTGAGAAGCGCGGAAGCCCTCTAGCGGCTGTCAATGAGACAGCCACTAGAGGCTGGATTAACCCATAGGTAAACATAGCAGTTTCCCTGAAACTGCTATGTTTACAGAAAAAAGGGTTAATCGTATCTGGACCTGGCACCAAAAGCACTTCATTAAGCTGAAGTGGTCTGGGTGCCTATAGTGGTCCTTTAAAGTGGAACAGGGTGGAATTCTATCTAGTAAGGGAGCTGGTAGATCCTGCTGTAAATGGGGCATATCAGCCTACACATCAGGCTGGTCAGTCAGGAACTGCAGATGTGCAGAGTGCTCTTGAAGTGAGCTTTGAAGGCAGAAAACCCCTATTTTGGTTTGCAAAGTACATCTTATCATGTGCTCAATTTGCTCAATATGAGGATGTTTCTATGGTTTGCACAGAAGAGCGATACCCTAGAGGAAAATAAATACAAACCCAAAAATGTGGAGGAGGGACAACAGCTCAAAATCAGGACCCCTGCTAAATCCAGGACTTATCCAAAAGTACTTTCAATTATACATGATAAACACATTTGATCTAGATGTCGCTTCAAAACATAATGATAAATAAATTATAACGTAATGATAAAAATAATCTATATTTAAGACTGTTTATGTGCAAATAATGCAAGTTTACAGGAGCATCATTAAAAAAATAAAATAAATGACTCAACAGGAAATATATCAGCATTATACAAAATTTAAAAAAGTCATCTATGCTTAAAATAATTTTAACTTTTTCATAGAGCCGTAGGCACTATATTGCTCAATGTTACAGCTTCCATCCCACTTCACTAAGAAGCCATTCAACACCATCAAGTAAGCCAGAAAGAGTGGAAACCTCTGTATTTTGCACCTGAGAAAAAAAGAAAGAAAAATACAAATTGCTGTTAGACTTTAGTCAAAGAGTCTGTTTCAAATAATAAATAATAAAAGAAAGGTGTCACTACGCCTGTAAGGGCACGAGTGACGCCTAGAGAGAAGTCCTGTAGATGTTGTACAAAAATGATTTAAAAGCTTGGTAGTTTATTGCGGGCATCGATAAACGATCCCTGAGAAAAAAAGAAAACTTAGAAAACCACTAACACCCATAGGCAAACACGGGGAAAATAAAAGATAGATGTACTAGATGGCAGATAGGTCTACATCAAAAGGAGATATATAACAAGCTCCAAATTGCATATAGAGAATAGCAAAGCCTGAGTGTGGTACTATAATAGTAGCTCACAAAAGGAACAGTTATGACACAGGGGTCCACATAATGTGGATCAGGAAACTGTTGTTAACTACTGTGAACTGCTGTTAACAATGTGAGACTCTACCATATAAAAAGTATCCACTTATTGGCTCAATTCTAAAGCTGAAAACAACAGACAGTTTGCTAACACTTGAACGAGACCTGCCTATATACAGCTTCCCTGAAACACGCTGCCTAGAGTAAGAGAAACCTCCTCAACTGAATATATATCTATATATCGACAGCTAAGTGGAGACCTAAAGACAGACGGTATGCAGACTACCTGATGGCTCAAAAAAGCGTACTAGCGTTCGATCTACAAAAGAAGAGATCCTAACCTACTCCATCTCCCCCACCCAGTGTAAAGAAAAAGTGCTAAGTCTTAAAAATAAAACAGCATAACCTAACGCTCGTTTCGGCGCTGCTAAAGCGCCTTTATCAAAGGTAATTATGGCACTGCCTAGACCGGCATTTATACCCAGCCCCTCTTCTATGTTAGCCAATCACTGTGCGACAAACTTACAAACCGTTCGCGCCAAGCGGGCGCTGTCAGTGAACTGTCCGTCATATGGTTACTCCCCTTAGCGTCATCAAAATGTGTGACGTGCTCCTGTAAAGGGGCGGGAGTTACACTGGGTCCGATATGTGTCGTGGCTTTGAAGGGAGAATAACCGATCCTGCTTAATCCTCTATGAGACTCATTGTAAAGTGAAAATTTAAATTAATAAAGGAAACCAGAAATGGTAGAGTAATATGCACTTCCTTTTACTTCTAAAACATTTGGATCTCTTATCTAGCGATTATTGTATGAATTGGTGAGGTCAGATAGAAAGTATAAAATGATCTTTAAAGCCACAGACTCATTATTGTGTACATCATTGCCTCTTGAAGAAGGAAGGGGAGTATATATACACGGGAAAAGGCATTATTATTCATAGATTAGGATGATCATTGGAGGTATAGTGCCAACTGGTCTAGGTTATTGCGCCCTAATGCTTAAATGACTCTTGTATAGAACTAGAAGCTTATATACAATAAACACAAAAGAGATACAACAAAAACATATAGTTAGGTACAAATTTACAGGTTATGAGTAGCATATATTTACAGATATTTACAACTTAAGGATCAATAAAGGGGGTGAAGGTAAAGCCTTCATTCAGGCCTTTGGGTGCCAAGGTATCCAATTTATAGATCCAATAGCACTCCCTTCTTTTAAGGGTTTGATCCAAGTCACCCCCTCTTTTTCCCAAGACAATTTTTTCAATCCCTGCAAACTTAATACATTTAGGTGTATCCATATGTTGGGATCTGACATGTCTAGCGACTGATGTATCTCTATTTGAGGTTATGGAGTGGACATGTTCCATTATACGTCTCTTAAAGGGCCGGATGGTTTTTCCCACATATTTCATTCCGCATTTACATGTCAGTAGATAGATTAGTCCCATTGTGTTGCAGTTAAAAAATTGTTTAATGGGAATGTTAATGGTGTTGGTGGAGCACGTGAGAATTTTTGACCCTTTTGCCATGAAGGCACATGCCACACATCTCCCACACTGATATGTGCCATGTACCTTCATCCAGCTGTCTTTTGCCTTTTTTGATGCTGCAGACAGGTGACTTGGTACTAGTATTTCTTTGAGGTTTCTGCCCCTTCTTGCTGTGATTGACACTCTAGGTGAAATGGTGTCTTTAAGGTGTGGGTCTTGTGTTAGCAAGGGCCAGAAACGTCCCAGTACTTTTTTTGCCTCCTCCCAGCCCGCATCATAACTCGCTATGCATCTGATTTGTTTTTTGGAGTCCAGTTCTATTTTTTCTTTAAATAGGTCCTCATGGTCACACTTAAGTGCCCTCTGATAGGCTTGTTTTAAACATCTGCTGGGGTAACCTCTTTGTTTGAATCGTAGTCTCAGGTCCCCAGCTTTTAGTTTGAAATCGTCCATTGATGAACAGTTTCTTCTCAGCCTAAGGTATTGTCCCACCGGGATACCTCTTTTTAGGGAGGTGGGGTGATGACTCTCCCACCGAAGCATATTGTTTGTGGAGGTGGGTTTACGGTATAGAGTCGTCTCTATTGTCAGGTTCTCCGTGATCCTGAATGTGCAATCCAAGAAGTTCAGTGTCTGATCACCGAATTCCATTGTAAATCTCAAGTTAAGGTTGTTGCTATTCAGCCTTTCCACAAATTTGACAAAGAGTTCCTTGGTCCCTGTCCATATAATAAGGACGTCATCTATGTATCGCTTCCATAGAAATATATAGTTGGTGAAATTATTATTCGATTCAGAGAACACACACTCCTTTTCCCACCATCCCAGGTGCAGGTTTGCGTATGCTGGAGCACAAGATGTCCCCATCGCAGTTCCCTGCACCTGGTGATAGTATTTATTTTGGAAGAGAAAAAAGTTGTGTGTTAGAATAAATCTTAATAGATTTAGGACGAAAGTTGTATGAGTGTTGTGTTCAATACCTCTTTGTCTTAGATAGTACTCCGTATGCTCCAAGCCACTTGGATGTGGTATGGAGGAGTATAGAGCCTCCACATCCAGGCTACAGAGTGCTGAGCCCTTCGGTACTTTTAATGAAGATAAGCATTTAAGGGTGTCTTTTGTATCTTTCAGATACGAAGGCAGGCTTTCCACAAATGGGCGTAGAATCTTATCTATATATATACTGCCCTTACTTGTAAAATTATTGGAGCCGGATACTATTGGTCTTGCTGTTAGTACCTTTTGTTGCTTATGAATCTTAACAATAGAAGGTAGATGTAGTTGGATTTTTGATATAGACACTATTGTACTCATCTTTCGTCAGTACCTCTTGATCAAAGGCTTGGTCCAAGAGTGTCTTATATTCCATTTGGAATTTAGATGAAGGGTCTGAGGTAAGGATTCTATAAGTCTTTTTGTCATTGAGGATTGATTCTGCTGTAGTAACGTATTGTTGTCTACTCATTATGACAATATTACCGCCTTTGTCAGCAGGCTTTATTACAATATTGTCATTGTCTTTAAGTTCACATAATGCTTTCCATTCAATCTTGGGAAGATTCCCTTTTGCTTTTATGGTCAGCATATCTGTGTTGATGTTGTTTATCATATTTGTTGTAGATTCAATAAATATGTCAATGTTCTTAAACTCTCTAAAATTAGGCGTGAATTTGCTCCTCATACAGAGATCAGTGTATGGTGCTGTAGAGTTTGTGTCATTATCCTCCAGGAGAGAGACTAGTTCTTGTAAGCACTGATATTCTCTAGGGTTAAACCCTAGCTCCTTTGCTTTTTTGTCGTCTCTAATCTTAAAGAACTTATGTAAAGCTAGTCGTCTCCCAAATAAATTAAGAGTCTGTTTCAGAATGCTATTGTGTCAAAATCACACCACAAAGAATATAGTAGCTAAGTATTATGGAGGTCTTTGAAACATTTTATTTTCTATAGTTTGTTCTTCTAAAAGGTTATGTGTGTCTTTTTAGCATTTTCCTTTAAAGGGACACTCCAGGCACCCAGACCACTTCTGCGCATTTGGAGTGGTCTGGGTGCCAACTCCCATTACTCTTAACACTGTAAGTGTAATTATTGTAGTTTTTTTATAAACTGCAATAATTACCTTGCAGGGTTAACTCCACCTCTAGTGGCTGTCTACTCGACAGCCACTACAGGGTACTTCCTCCTTTATAGCACAGGAAACCTGTGCTAGAGCATCGCTGGACGTCCTCATTTCCCCATAGGAAAGCATTTTCAATGCTTTCCTGTGGGGAGCTCTAATGCGCATGCGCGGCATTGCCGAACATGCGCATTAGGTCTCCCCTGCCAGTGGGCGGGATCAGTCTCGCCCACCGGCTGACGCAATCACAGGGAGGAGCGGCGGCGGAGGAAGAAGCAGTGACGTGGGACATCGCCGCTGCCTCTGGTAAGTCACTGAAGGGGTTTTCACCCCTTCAGCAACCGGGGATTGGGGGGTGGGAGGGAGAGGGAACCTGCAGTGCCAGGAAAACGGATTGTTTTCCTGGCACTGGAGTTTCCCTTTAAGAAATCATTTAAATATTGGGGTAGAAAGTCAAACATCGCCACATACGTAATTAGAAAGATTTTGTTTAAATGAAAAGTACAGCATACCATCCAAGGTCGATTTAACTCGGTGAGACACAATTCATGAGCCAAATAAACACATGGAATACGCTTGTCCCCTGGGTGAGATACACAAGCTAGAACCAAAAACGGTCTCTTCTGTGGTCCAAACTCTGGGTCTGTCATGGCCAGAATCTGCGCAACTTCATCTTGTCGATTGTGTTCTAGAAAGAAAGAAAAAATGAAAAACAAAAACATTTCATTTATTTTGCTATGAGCAGGTCAATCTATTATAGATGACCATCAGGAAACATCATGCACAGTAAACATTCTCATTACCATATTGCATGATAATCTGTAACAAAACAAAAACGATCTAGGTCATGTTAGCTGTACTTTCCATGTAATATTTTCTAATTATTCCTGCACAGAGCCAAATACATTGTAAGCATAATGTTTGGGTATTAGCAGTGTTTTGCTTGTATACTCTTAAAGCTGCACTGTCATGCCGAACTTACCTTTCTTTAATCCTTTTCTTCCTCTGTCAGGATCTGTTCATCATTTCTTCCTTTCTGCTCTAGTTTTCTTTAAAACATAAGACAAAGTAGGGACTACTTTGTCTTATGGAGGTTTCCTACATTTGGCCAGCTTTGACCAGCGGAGAAACAAAGTGTGCTCTGTTTCCTGTGGTCAAAGCAATTTTTGCACAATTCTCGCAATGCCTCCTTTCCGTATTCCCGAACGGCGGCAAAACTACCGAATTTCATCCTTACAGAATGAGAGCAGTTCGTCCATTTGTGTTAGGACGAAATTCGGGACCTTAGTTCGGTTTGAAATTTAATTTGAATTAATGAAATTCCGATCCGATCGTGGCTGCATCTTGCAGACGCTTAGTAGATAGGTCCCTAATTCTTACGGTATCAGGAAGCTATCTACCAAAAGGCTGAAAGACCAAGATTGGTCTTTCAGCCAACTTTACCAATACCAAGTTACAATTACTTGATATTAGTAATTAACCTGCCCTTACTCACTATATCACGAGTAGGGGCATTTCTAGTAAATAGTGAGCAGCCTGTGGCGGGTGGGGGACCTAAATGAAAATAGGGGGGGGACAACCGCCTGGATTTTATCACTACTACTACTAAAGATAATGTTTGTTTGGAAGGCATATTTGTACTTATTAAACCTAATCTAATTTATGTGGATTTCTACCTATAGTTTCCCCTCAGTTAGTTACATGAGGGGTATCCCAGAACTTCACAATTTACAACAAGAAACCACACATTTCACTTTGTACTGAATGGTAATGAATTGAAAACTGATATGAAAAAAATTTGGCAATATTCACTGTAGCTAGTAATAGGAGGCAGTGATCGTGTGAGAGCGCTCAGTTGACAGTGAGTTAAGAAGTTATGAAGCCTACAGTGTCCCGTTCCAAACAAACTTAAGAACAGATAACAAGCAGTCTTCTCATAGAAAGCTTAACAACTAGGGAATAACCTTCTAGAGTACAAATTCTTCCAAGTCCTATTTGTATTCCAGGAAAAGATTGTGTTTATTTATCTGATTTCTAAGCATACCTTAAAATCTGTAAATATTTAACTCTTAGTCATGTGTGTTTAAACAGGTAACATTTAACCGCACAATGTTTCAGGATATTTGAAAATTCCACATTTCAACAATTTATCCTAGAAAAAGCATTTTCTAAATAAAATAATACACAAATACATTTTGTATTAGATTACCATTCTGCAGTTTTACTAGATTTATCAGATATGCCATTGTACACTTTTTTTTAGAGGTTAATGGTCTAGAAGTTTTCCTAAACCTTGATAAGCTACACACATTAGATCCTGATGGACTATCACATATGCCATTATATGGTACCGTGAGATTTTGATGAGCAATCAAATATACAGGGCCGGACTAGCCAACGGAATACCTGGAATTTTCACGGTGGGTTAGGGCTGCGTGGCGCTCTAATTCTGCCCTCACAGAGAGGGATTGAGGGAGCCATTCGCATGTAGGTGCCGCTGATCCGGTGGCACACAGAGGGGGCCGGCCGCATATCATGGTGGTGCTGCTGGGCCAGGTGGCAGATCTGACTATCATGCTACTACTCTATGATGTGTCCATGCTGGGAATTGTGGGAACCGTGAGACCCCCTGAAGCAGTGGCGTACACATGACCCATGGGGCCCCGGTGCAAAAATTGATCCGTGGGCCCCCGGCGGGCGGGCCGCAACACATGGCGGTGGGCACCTGGTCGCAGGGGTTACAGGGCTGCGACCCCTGCACCGCGGTATGTGCGCCAGTGCATGCAGATGCACACACACTTAAAGGACCACTCTAGGCACCCAGACCACTTCAGCTTAATGAAGTGGTCTGGGTGCCAGGTCGAGCTAGGGTTAACCCATTTTTTCATAAACATAGCAGTTTCAGAGAAACTGCTGTGTTTATGAATGGGTTAAGCCTTCCCCTATTTCCTCTAGTAGCTGTCCCATTGACAGCCGCTAGAGGCGCTTGCGTGCTTCTCACTGTGATTTTCACAGTGAGAGCACGCCAGCGTCCATAGGAAAGCATTATGAATGCTTTCCTATGTGACCGGCTGAATGCGTGCACAGCTCTTGCGCTGTGCATACAGCCAACGCGGGAAAGGAGAAGAGGAGGATCGGAGGAGGAGAGCTCTCCGCCCAGCGGTGGAAAAAGGTAAGTTTTACCCCTTTTCCCCTTTCCAGAGCCGGGCGGGAGGGGGTCCCTGAGGGTGGGGGCACCCTCAGGGCACTATAGTGCCAGGAAACGAGTATGTTTTCCTGGCACTATAGTGGTCCTTTAAAGGACCACTACAGACACCCAGATCACATCAGCTCAATGAAGTTGTCTGGGTGTCAGGTCCCTCTAGTTTTAACCCTGCAGCTGAAAACATAGCAGTTTCACTGAGGGTTAATCCAGCCTCTAGTGGCTGTCTCACTGACAGCCGCTAGAGGAGCACACTGAACGTCCATAGGAAAGCATTGAGTAATGCTTTCCTATGGGCGGTTTGAATGCGTGCGCGGTCGCATTCGGAGCTGAGAGGCTGAGGAATCCCCAGCGCCAAGGGAGTCCGGCGCTGGAGAAAGGTAAGTGCTGAAGACACACACACTCTCACTTACAGACGCATACACACTAGCTAACAGACACACACATTTACTGACAGAGATACAGTCAGCGACAGACATACATACACACTCACTTACAAAACATACACTCTCATTGGCAAACACACACTCACTAACAGACATCAAACAGACTCACTAACACACACACACTCAGTAAGACACACACAGTAACACACTCACTGACACTCACTAGCAGACACACACACTAACACACTAACACTCACTAGCAGACACACACTAACACACACTAACACTCACTCTAACACTCACTCTAACACTCACACTAACACTCACACTAACACTCACTCTAACACTCACACACACACACACTAACACTCACACATGATTTTTTTTTTTTTTTAATATAATCCCCCCAGCCTCCTTACCTCTTGGAGTGCTGGGGGGGATTATTCCCTGGGGTCCAGTGGGGCTCCTGGGCGGGTGGCCGGTCGGGCAGGCAGGCAGGCGTGCGCGCGAGGGAGCACTCAGTGCTTCCTTTTCAGCTCCCTCGCGCGCCGCGTAGGGATGCCGGCGCCGGAAGATGACGTCATGTTCCGGCTCCGGTATCATTGCGGTGCGCGAGGGAGCTGAAGAGGAAGCACTGAGTGCTCCCTCGCGCGCCTGCCTGCCTGCCTGCCCGACCGGCCACCCGGGGTCAGCAGGGCCAGCCTCAGGGGGGCCCTGGGGTGGTCGGCTCCTGGGCCCCCCAGGGGAAGAGGCTGGCCCTGTGGCTACATACCGGGTCGCAGGGGCGGCTGGGCCTCCTGGTGGGCCGGGCCCGGTCGCAGTCACGACCCCTGCGACCCTGGTATGTACGCCAGTGCCCTGAAGGTTTGTTGGGGGAAACAAAGAGAGACATACAGAAGGGAAGGGGGACAAAGTGACACAGAAGGTTTGTGGGGAGCAGAGCTGAGCTGGGGGAGAAAAAGACACACAGAGTGGCTGGGAGGAGAGAAAGAGGCAAACAGAAGGACTGGAGTTAGAAAGAGACACACAGAGGAGATTCAGAAGTGGAGAAAGACAAAAGGGGCTTGGGGAAAGAGATACAGAGGGCTGGAGAAGAGTAAAAAGAGACACAGAAGCTGGGATGAAGTAAAAGATACACAAGGGAAGCTGAAAGAGACACACAGGGGGTTGTAAGAGACAAAAAGGAGAATAATTGGAGACCAGATACACTAAACGAGGTAAAAAAAATAAAAAAAATCAAAGGAGGGAATAAGAAATACAAAAAAACAGCAAGAAATTCAAAAGGAGGTTAAGAGAAACACAAGTGAAGATGCATTTTTGTGGTGTGTGTGTGTGTTGGGGGGGGGGGAGGGAGAAGGTAGGGGATGCATTTTCACCTGTGTCTCACGCTCTCCCTGTAACTCAGCTCTTCAGCATAAGAGTTTATGCCGAAGAGCTAATTGACAGGTGAGAGAAAGATCTCTTATTAAAGATTTTCCTTCCAAGATATACATTTTGCTAGCAATCTTGCTAACAATGTACAGATAGACGTAACTGATGTGATTCTGACATTAATACACAAACATATATGCATGTATATATGTGTGTGTATTAGTAACATATATATATATATATATATATATATATATATATTAATTAAAGCCAATCATATTTACTTATTTTAATATACATTCAAAGTGAAAAGCACACTCAAAGGACTTCAAAATAAACAAGATCATTTTTTTTTATAGTTCTGCAACGCATACATTCACTGTTTCATTCCCATTACCAAACTTTCCTTAATATGTGAAGGTAGTCGGATTAAAACATTGATTATATGCAAATGTACGTACCCTTAAAATAAAGCCGCTCTTTTGTTTATTCTGAAGCCCTATTAGTGCTTTCTTTTGTTGCATTAATAGTTTTCCATTTTAAGTTATCTTTTCCACCTCTATATCAGCACACTATGCTGGCGCGACTTATTATTGGGCTGAGATAGAATTTATTTCAGGGCTGCTTTTAGTTCCCAGTCCGGCCCTGCAGATATACCATCATGCAGTTTTATGATATTTTGATGAGCTATAAGAAGATATTAAATTATACTGCTTTGCGGAATCTTGATGAACTATCACATAAGTACATGAACTTATCCAGGAGCCTGCATAACTGCCCATCAGTTATGAAAATTAAATAATGAATCCTGTTCACTAATAGTTAATGCACATTTTTCTTTAGTACTTTTAATTAATTAAAAAGAATGTCATCAGTGTTCATACTAGCAGCCCATAAAGAACTAAGCCTTGTGGGCATGCCAAGTAAACAAACTAAAGTTGACCATGCAGATATTGGTTAAATATCAATTAACCATTTCATAAATATAAAATTCATTTAATAACACTTGAGGGTCTATTAATTAAATCAGGAATTGTGATGAAGTCAGCAGGCCAAAACAGCGGAACTGGTACAGCCACATATTTATTTTTTATGTTTATTTAAAGATACACCATAGCATTAGGATTACAAAGCTGTCTAACGCTACAGTGCCCTGGGCCATATTAGAATAGTGCCTCATCTGCAACTTAAAAAAAAAAAAAAAAAATACTACAAAATAAAAAAAATGTACTTACCTAATTTCCAAGACTCTCTCGGTGCTGCTGTCCACTATGCCTCCCACAACATAATCTGGTGTTGCTCTCTCTGTGATGGTTTAATCCATGGCTCCTTATTAATTCAATGCTTGAGTTCACTCTGTCATTGACTGAGTTCACTGTATAGGAAGCCACTAGAGAGGTGTCTACAAAACTGCAATGATTTACATTGCAGGGTCAAAACTGCATGGCCACTGCAACCAGACAACTTTGTTGATATAATGTGGTCCTTTCAATTTGGCTGTTTGGCTATTCTGTACTCAATGTTTCATACTTTCTTATATAATAAATAAACCCTTGTGACATTTTAACGTGTAGCTCAAGTGGTACAGTGTTCCTGAGTCCATTTGTAATGTTGCTCAGGTGAGCAAGTTGGTTAATTGTGATATTGCAAAAAAATGCATCTTTGATACAGCTAATGAACAGTCTTCTTGAATATTGAAACTATAAAAGAGTTGAATCCAAATGTTAGACCAACTAAAATGAATTTGGAAACATTTAGGGCACAATTGCCCGGATGTAAATAATAATAATAATAATAATAAAACAAAAAGGTTCTGCACAGTTTCTAAATCAGTCTCCAAATATATTTGTCAATTCAATTATTAATTTTAAAACATTACATTAAGAAACATCATTGATCAGATCATGCATTCTATTGGTTCTGAATTCAAAAGCAAACATTTTTATATTTATATAATTAAAGCAGCTCTGGAATAAACATGAACAAACATTTTGCTTTTCATGATGGTCTCACTTTAAAAATAAAATGTGTCAAAAATATATGCCACGTGCTATGTCTGGTTCTCATTTACTCACAATTTGAAACACAATGTATCTCTGCCAAAACCCCAAAAATACTTGGCACTGCCATGTAAAAAATGGTAATAAGAGTTATAGGACTGGATAAAAGCAGTAAGCACCTACCTCGGTTAGTTTCGGCATTTGCCACATAGATGAATCCATCCACAACTTTGCATACCTCCTTCACTTGTGGTATTAAAGTGTATGGTGTTCCTTTTGTGTTTGGTACTGAATTTTGAGACACAAATATTTTATTTCCTGCTGCGCTCTGATCCGCACGTGCTCGATCTCTCTCGGACCTACGAAACAGAAGACAAAAATAAGTCTTCAAACAATACCCAACATTTAAAGAATTAGGGACCTTAATGGGAAATTAGTTATAAGGGACAGCAAAAAGGTAGACAAAGGGATTAATAAAGCTTACATATAAAGAAACTCTTATTATCCAAACCGTTTCTCACCCTATATTTTGTCCCAATACATTAACTAATTCAAACGGTCTTTACATGCTAGCTAATCTTGCCTTATTCAATATCCTTTGTATTGACTACCCTCCTTTTTTCTGTCAATTTAACAATGTTTTTACAATTTCATATCTAAGCTATTCCTTATCCCTCGATTACCTTCCTTCCTACTTTTCGCAAGTATTTTCTGCCTTTCCCACCCTTTAGCAAACAACCCCAGTGAAAAATCTCTTTGTTTGAATTTTACAAGATTTTTCCATAAAATAAAATAGACAATGATTTTTAGGATTTATTAATTTCTTCCAACTTATGCATATCATCATTCATGCCTAAGTGTGGTGAATTGTCAATGTCACTGTTCGTAGTTAATGTTTATAATAAAAACTTAAAAATTATTATTTTTTTAAAATAACTAGAATTTAAAAATATAACTACAGAATGATCTGACAATAAACAGCCATAACTAATAATGGGCAAATAAAAGAAATATGTTACGCTACAAACAAAAACATTAGGTCTGTTACATTGCTGCCAGCCTCCCCACATTTGTCTTATTAAGAGTTTATAAGTATGTAGGGGCAGCACCCCGACCTGTCGCATCAGAGAAATTTGCCTTTTAGCTGATACCAGCAAGGTGATTTGTATGTGTTATAGCCCTATTCAGGGTTAAGTATGTAGGGGTTTATAAGATACCCCTTCCTGTCTCATTAGAGATGTTTACACTTTGTCTGATACCAGCAAAGTTTATTGTATGTGTAGAAGCGCTGTAAAGGGTTAAATGTGAAAGGGTTTATAAAATACCCCTTCCTGTCTTACTGGAGATTCTTGGCTGATATCAGCATATCTAATGGCTAGTGTAGCAACTCACCTATTGAGGCTTGCCTTGACGTGGCAGGTGAGCTTATATATTCAAATGGCCATTGGAATAAAACTAAAGAGCCTCCATTTTGTTTAAATGTACATGGGGATTTAGGCCAGAGCGCAGGTAACGTTCTCTTTGTTTTTACTATGTATTTTAAGCTGTTGGATACTAAGCTACTGCTGCTGTAAGCGCGGTGCTTTATCTTTGTGTTTCTATCTGATAATGATTAATATTTTTATTAATCAAAAAAAGTGAATAATGATACACATGTTCCATAGGATAAACTTTATGTTATGGAGAATGATTATATATGTCACCAGATGGGAAAAGGAATAAAACCGCCATATGATAACCAGTTAACATAGGGCCCAATATCGGAAGTGGTGAAAGCACAACCAGGACGGTGAAATGACAAGGGTGGGCCCTTTAAAAAAGGGGGGATGGTAACCAGACAGGGGTGCATGCACAACTGGCTGACAGTTGTTTTGGCGAGCCCCCTTATGTTTTGTATGCACAAAGCAGTATTTAAGCTTTTATTAAAGACAAGTAATGAAAAGACAAATTATTCATCTCCTTTGTCTGATTTTATCTATACCATGGTATGAGGAAGACTAATCAGATCACCATCTTCTTTAAGTTAAAAGGCGAACACTGAATATGTACATTGGGTTTCAAATTTGGCATTATGTAATATTAATAAGAAACTCCACAGCAATAATATATATTATTACAAAAGTAAAGAACAGAGGATTTTATTTGTATTTTTATTTTTTGCATGGTACTTTGTATTTATTTATTTATTAGCAGCTACATTGGTTTTTATTTATTTTTGTGCTCATAAAAGTGCAACTGCAGGTTAGAAGCCCAACATTTAATCTCGTGCACTTCCTGGTTGGAGAAATATATACCAGCCTCGATGAATATTTGACACAATACAGGACACAAAAGGGACTTGCCCTCATTTGCTACAGTTTATAGTAATAGAACTCCAGAACAAAATATAATACTAAAAAATATCAGCCAGAGAATTTGACTTTGGAAAAGCAGTTTCATTATGTCTCTCTTTTTAAAAATAATGAAGATTTTGTAGTTCCCCTCCCCAAACCTGCCAGAGACTGAGGAAATAACCCACTATCATAGCGTTAAAATTGGAACATAAACAGTTGTTAAAAATATATATTTGTATATCTCAAGTAGTGGTTTATCAAACTAACAAGAAACCAGAGTGTAACGGCACCCCCAGGCATAAAAGGGGTTAAAACGCCATTTAGAAGATCTTCCCCTTCCAGAGACACAGGCACAGCTACCGCAGAACCCCAAACTCCTGAACAGGATACAAAGTAGCACTCCAAACTCCCGAACTGGAACCTCAAGAATAGCTGCTAGCAGCTGAACAGGAAAAGCACCCAAGCGGCTTACACTCCTGGAAATCAGTCTCTAACAGCATACAGTAAATCCCCCCAAGAACGAGACAAAGCTCTGTGTTGAGGGTCAAGCAGTGAACAGCCTGAGATGTCTTTATTGGCCTTATATACACATTTTACAGACAAAGTCCCACCCACAGGGTTTTGTGAAACATCCAATCAAAACATACAACACAGATAAACACTCCCACAATGACATCACAATCCCTCCTCTCCGTCCTGGAGATAATTGGGAAGTAATCTAATTATCTCCAAGGACAGAGGCAAAACTCCATTAAGCACATGGCAGTAAAAAGACAGTAAAATACAATAAAATAGACAAGTTTACATTTATTACATAAAATACAGACATGCAACATATCCCCAGATAGCTTAGGTCTGAGCGCACATTATTACTGAATGGCGCTCAGACCGCACACATACAGTTCATTGCCACGAATAGGCTCCATGGGATAGCTATCTGGGTTAAATGAGTTCATTCAGTAAATCCAAGAATCTACCGGACGCCAGGGCAGAAATACATGAATAGACCTTTCTGCATAGGAAAATAAATTATTTAAATGCCGGTCCATAGTCAAAAGGCAGCAGGCAGGCAACCAGGCTCCTCCAATGCACAGTGGCGAGATTGGTCTCGTCACACAGAGTTTAAGTTTACACAACAGAAAAATTAACCATTGGAAGTCTCCAAATATACTCCATGCAGAGGTAGGTGCTGGAGCGATCCTTCACATGTGGAGTTCCATTCGAAGAGAGCACTACCAATACCACCTTCCAAAGGCCATATGTATCACAGAGGGTCAATCACAATCAAATAATCTTAAACCAGCATCAGCTTGTGCAGCCAGTCTGGTTTTATTTTTGTGGTCTAAAAAACAGTGACATTTCTGTAATCCGAGACGCACATCTCTGCAAATGTACCTTGTCGTCTTAAGGTTGCATTGATTTAGAGCACAAAGTTATCGCATGTGAGAGAAGGCAGTGTATAGACAAGTAGGACTGCAGAGTAATGTATACTCTATGCAGGACTATTTACATTTTGGCAGCTTAGTGAAATTACTTGAAGGATCCCATTGTTTTATGAATGCTGTGATTATCTTTTCTATCACACCGAAGAGGACTTATAATTATGTTTTCTGTTTTCTCTTATGGACAGTGTCTACTCTACTCTAGTACTTTGGTACTTTTAAATATTATTTTGCAAGTTTTGTTTCTTTCATTCTTAAAAGACTTACCTTGTTCTGGTATATAAAGTTAAAATGTTAAATTTATGTTGATTGTCGAGTTGAAAAGTAACACCCGAGCCAATTCCTGTATAAACACAAAAAAGAAAATAATGATATAAATAAGAGGAGAATTAAATAAATACCTATCAAAAAACACATATACATGAGGTGCCATAATTGCTATACTACTTATTTGCAAAGTACCAAACTCTTCAGCACCTATATTAATCTAGTCAAAGTGAATGTGGGAGGGGTAAGACATTAATTGGGCAGTTAATTAAAAGGAGTGCTCTCACTCTGTATATGGTGTCTTTGTAGAATCCTATCAACATATCTAACCAGGAAACACCCAGCTTACCTCATATATTAAATAATGTATGAAAAATATACAGTACATAGCACTATTGTCTCTAAAACATTGGATCATTTTACTAATCCCTCAGACAGCATGAAGTTCAAAAGAGAAAAGTCAGTTTAATTTTATGTTCAATTTTGCATTATCTCCTGGTATTTTATAGTGATATGCTGGTTTTAGAAAGCCAGGAAAAACTAATTAGTCGCTAAAAAACTATTCAGGAGGATTATTTAGTAACATGAGATTTCAAGGTGAATTGTAATTTAAGGCGGCCAGAGCTGAAATTACGGCATAGTTGACTTTTTAATTTTCAAATTCAGCTATTTTGACCTTAAATTTGAAACTCTCTTTGAATTATCACTTTACTGAATAACCCTATGTTCTCTCATTGATATGGATGAAAACGGTGGATCTTATAACGTCACCCTTGTCTGCTTGTTACTTAATTCATCTTATTGCTTAAAAAACAAACAGTTAAACAAAAAGGAGCAAATTAAGTCTAATGAAGTTCACATGATACAATAATAACTAGTCTCCATTTTTATATTGTAACGTAAACGGACCAGTTTAAAGCGGAACGGTCACTTCCTCAACGTTAGCACAACCGAATAGCTAACTAAGCTTTATTCACCTTGGTAAAGCTCAATAGCGTTCACTGGGGTGACGGAACACGAAACTGTAACGTCTCTGGAAGATACAATTCCTCTTTAAACAAAATCCCATCCCTTGTTCATCTTCACTTGGCTATTTAAAGCATTGTAACATAAGCAACAAGGTGCAACAAAGTGGCAAACCTACAGTTAACAGCTTCAAAGATATAAACAATGTTCTATTAGTGGCCTGTGGTTTTACCATATTTGCCATGAAGAAATACAAAAGTGTGGCTTTTGTATAATTTCCAAATTTTAAAAGGACATGCATCACTTGACAGTTTTTTTTTCAAACCAGAAATCAAACACAAACAAATAAATAAAGCAAAATAAAGCAAGAAAGAAAAAAATACTAAACCTCGAAAGAAACTCATATCACCACCACCATTCCCCAGCTATACCTACAGAATAATGTACCCAAATAAAATTACATAAATTAGCAAAGTCAATTTTAGTAGCAGTTTATTTTTAACCCCTTAATGACACATGACGGAAATATTCCGTCACGATTCCCTTTTATTCCAGAAGTTGTTTCCTTAAGAGGTTAACCATAGACTAATTGCAACATAAATTCCCACTATAACTAGCAAAAAGTACCTGAACTTACCATAATTATATCAATTTAAGGAATACATAGAGAAACAGTTATCTGAATCACTGAAAGGTATGGGGATCGAGGAGTTAAAATGAATTGCATTAAGTAATATTCCAGTCAACAGGTTGTAAGAGAGGAATTGTGATGTTTTGTTAATGTAATTACTGACTGTGACATCAAAGTAATTATTTTCATGTGCTTCTCGGTTACAGAAATCACATGATTTTCAGTAAAATGCAGTCAAAAGAGAAGTAACTGTGAATCAAGTGACTCTGCAAAACCTTATTAGAATTTTACAGTTTTAGAAAGATGAGTTGCTTGGATGCTCCCAAGTAACTGTTAAAAACTCAAAATAAATGAAGATGGGGCACTCAGGACTTTCGCAAAAGTAAATAAATGTGTTTATTCCATCAAAATAGTGTACAGTTTTAAAGAACCACTAAATGCACCCAGACCACTTCAGCTCAATGAAGTGGTCTGGGTGCAGTGGTCCTGTAGTTGTAACCCGGTTATGTAAAACATTGCAGAGTTAAACACACCTATAATGGCTGTCTTAGGCAAAGGCAGCTGCACTGAGACAATCTCGTCATTGGGGAAAAAAGTTAAAAAGCTTTTTTTTTTTGTCCTATTTTTTACTTTGCAAAAGAGGAGGTATTGAATCTAAATAGAGACTCAGCACAGGTTTGTATTCTGATAGCTATAGTGTGTTTTAAACGTTTCAGAACTCAGAGCTTCAAAAAACATTATTTTTGAAAATGCCAATAATTGTGATGAAGTCCAGCAATTACCCAGCTTCATTTAATGAACCCCAAGGTGGCATTATTTTCCATAATATAGGCTTTGTCATTAGGCATTCTTTATTTTGGAGATCGTGTTAAGGTAGTGTAGGGGTTAATGTTTAGTGTTAGTAGTAATGTGGTGTAAAGGTTAACACTAAATTGACCTTCTTTCACTTCACAATATTAAAGGTGTGGTGAGAACAAAACATAACTCCACATTGACACTTGCTAAATGCTGGCAGACCCATTCGTTGAAATTATACAAACTAGGATAGTTTTTTGGTGTCTGGATCTTTTGTATCACAAACCATATTTTGATTTAAAAAGCGGTGTTTAAAACAGTGCTCCATTGCTAAACATGATACTTGTTCACTCTGTTTCATGTGGAGCTGTGAACTCTGGAACACTGGGGAAACCTGAGTTCTCAGAATTGTTGTGCCCAAGGCAGACTTTTTTTGAGGTCACACTTGAGATATCAACTTTTTGTTGTTTGTATGTGTGTGTATACACACACACACACACACACACACACACACTAATCAGCCACATTTTAAAACCACCTGCCTAATTTCATGTTAGTCCACTTCATGTTGCCAAAAGAGCTCTGACGCCTTATGGCATAGACTCCACAAGACCTCTGAATGTGTCCTGTAGTATCTGGTACTAAGACATTAGCAGCAGACCCTTTATGTCCTGCAAGTTGTGAGGCGGGGCCTCCATGGATCGGATTTGTTGTTCCAGCACATGCCACAGATGGTTAATCGGATTGAGATCTGGGGAATTTGGAGGACAAGACCACATTGGACTCTTTGTCAAGTCCCTCAAGTCATTCCTGAACAATTTTTGCAGTATGGCAGGGTGCCTTATCCACTTCCATCAGGGAACACCATTGCCATGAAGGGATGTATGTGGTCTGCAACAATCTCTAAGTAGGTGGTATGTGTCACACTAATATCCATATGAATGCCAGGATCCAAGGTATCCCACAGAAAATTGCCCAGAGCATAGCATCGCCTCCACCTGACTGCCTTCTTCGCAAATTGTATCTTGCTGACATATCTTCCCGAGCATTGGCATCAGCTGACCATCATTATGTTTTTCCGCAACTTGAGTTACAGTAGCTGCTCCGTGTGATTGGAACAGACAGGCTAGCCTTTGCTCCCTACGTGCATCAATGAGCCTTGGGTCCCATTACCATGACGCTAATTCACCGGTTGTCCATCCTTGCACGCAGGGCCAGCGCATCCTACAGGCCGATTAGGCAGCCGCCTAGGGCGCTACTCAAGGGGGGGGAGCACCAGCAGCAGTTTTACTGCTGGTTTTGGCCACCCCTCTATATGGGTCAAATTGTGTTTGGCATGCCGCAGGTAATGGCACCAGGTGCTAGGGAGCACATACATGGCTCCAGACTAGCGCCAGGTACCATCATCCTCAGTCAGCCAGGATCACAGAACCGCCCCCCTACACACCACCTACACCGCAGCGCACGGGCACTTCAATCACTCCTCCTGTTCCCCTGTACTCAGGGTCAAGTGGGCAGGAGTACAGCAGGGACGGAGCTTAAAGAGAATGAAGGCAGCCAGGCCTGGACTGGGACCCACAGAGAAACCATATTAAATAAAGGCATGGTGTGTGTGTGTGTGTGTCAGCTTGGTTCAGGCAGTGTGTATATGCTTGGATCAGTGTGTATGTGTGTGTGTGCGCACGCTTAGGTCAGTGTGTGTGTCTGCTTGGATCAGTGTGTGTGCGCGCAGGTGCTTGGGTCAGTGTTTGTGTGGCTGTTTGGGTCAGTGTGTGTGTTTAGATCAGTGTGTTCTTTGTGTGTCTGCTTGGGTCAGTGTGTGTGTCAGTCTGGATCAGTGTGTATGTGTGTGTGCGTGCTTGGGTCAGTGTGTGTATCTGCATCAGTGTGGGTGTCTGCTTGCGTAAATTGTATGTGTCTGCTTGGGAATGTATCTGCATAGGTGTGTCAATCTGCATCAGTCAGTGTGTGTGCGTGTGTATATGTATGTGTGTATGTCAGTCTACACGAGTTAGTGTATGTCTGCTTGAGTCCATGTGTGTGTGTCACTCTGGGTGAGTCAGTGAATGTGTGTGTGCACTGGTCACTGATTGTAATTGTGTGGACCAATGTGTATGAATAAGTAAATGTGTGTGAGTGTTTGTGTGTGTATATATATATGTATGCATCTACCGGTGATTGTATGCATCTACCGGTGATTGAATTTTAATTTAAAAAAAATACAATACTATTAACGGAACACTACATTGTTAGGAATCTAAACCTGTATTCCAAATACTATAGTGTCTCTGTCCCTACATAGATTCAAGTCACCCCCACCCCCCCACAATAAAAATTGGTTTATAAAAAATAAATAAATTTTAAAAAAAGGTGGGGGATTACTTACATTTATTAAGCACCAAGACTCCTTAGCCTTCTTACCTCGCTCACGATCACTAATAGGGCAATGCTGTTCCTCATACAGGAGTATTAGGGGCCTGAAGCGCATAAGAGGCAAGCGCTATGCACTTCCAATGCTTCTCATAGTTACATGACATTGTAGCGGAGGTGTATCTAGTGGCTTTCAATGTGACAGCCACTAGAGTCTTGTCTAACACTTCAAGGTAAGGCAATGTTTTATGGTATTAAACCTACATGGCCACTGTGGAGCGAATGGGGCAGCAACATTTTTTTTGCCTAGGTCTGCAAAAATCCTTGCATCCGCCCTGCTTGCACCAGTCTTGGTAGGTACTGTAGTATAAATCTCTAGTTAAAATGAATTGTTTTAGTTGTTTAAAGAGGTTCTGCCCAAGTATGGGATCTTTGCAGGATCATCCATTGACAGAGCCGTTTTCCCCTCTGCCATCACTAGTGACAACTGAGGGCTTGATAAGCTTGACAAAAAAAGTAGCTCAGCCTTTTGCCAAGATTAGTAAAAATACGAAGACAAAGTAGTCTATATCATTTTGAATGGAGTGTACGGTGAAAGAGTTACTTTGATTGACCATTTTCCCACTATAGGAAATAGGTTGGTCAAGATGTTACATACATAGTACATAGAACTGTTTCCACGGCAAAACTGTGTTTTTGCTTTTATTTGTTTTGTTTTTTTAATGTTTGCTTGGGTTTTAATGCACTCACAACAGGTGCATCCTGATTTCTGATAAGATCAAAACATGAATGAATAAACACAGATTTAAAAGAACACATCAACATATCAGGACTAGACAAATAAACCTGTTAAAGCAGAAGGATTGCTAAATTCAAGACAGAAGGAAAACAAAATAATAGAGTGAAAAGATTGCACTTTTCTATGTAAACAGTTAATCCAAGCACCATAAACACTTCAATGATTTGACGTGGCTACAGAGTCTGGATGTGCAGCAAATCAGTCATACATAGCACATTGCTGTCGCTGGCCCGCCTGGAACGAGAGTGTAAACATAGGCAGGGTTTCTTACTAAAGTAGTATAAAGTTAGAATGGGCAGGAATTCAAAGAGATTATCAGTTAAGGCCAATATAGTCAAACTGTAAACATTCTCCAAGTCAACCATGCTTCCGGTTCAGCTTCTTTGTCTTTAAAGGGACACTGTATTCTGTATCCTTTCACTGCAGGTATTTTAAAGTAAACATTGAGTATTCATAGAAAAGGCAATGTTTACATTACTGTAAACTGTAGTAGTACCTCCAGTGGCAGTCACTTAGATGGCCACTAGAGGTGCTTCCTGTAATTCAATATTTATATAAAGCTACAACAATATAAATTAAATGAAGAAATATTTTTTATATTTTACTGAAGAAGTGGAAGAGTCCTCTAACAAATAATTTCTTCTCCATCAAAACAAAGATCTATGTTTAATATAAACATTTAGTTTTATTGGATTTTTTTAGTTCTTAAAACTCACCATGAATTTGTTTCTGAAGTATGCACATAACTGGAACAAGATCGGGAGAGGTCATCATTCGGGCAACCAAAGAATCATCCATCTGTTCTATTCCAGGGCCAAACATAGCAAATCGAGGCTCTCCATGCATCACCAGCGACTGGAGAAAGTTGCTCACTGCACCATAAACAGGGTGTCTTGGCCGCAAAGTTTTTCTGTTTCTAGGGCAGCATTTTAAATATCTAGACACATGATATTAACGTAATTATTATCAGTATTGGAAAATGTGATCTAAGTAAAAGTTCTGCAGATTGTAATAAAACAGAATGATCTGTATCAGAATGCACGCATACTTTGTTAAACTCTTGGGCATATTTAAACAAATGTGAAGAAAATAATAAATTGTAATGTGTTAATTTCACAGTAAGATGAAATAACGGAATATTTTAAGGGCAATAAACCCAAAGCAATTAGCAAAAGCATCCGAAAAGGAATAACGTTCAGTTTTTCTCTAGATATGTCAGGAAGTATGTTTTGGTAACTCTGCAGCCTATATAACTTACATAGACATATAATTAGGAGCTTTCCCCTCCTGTAATTCAGAAAAGCACGAGTGCAGTATATTTTGGTCCGGTAAACTGTGCCATTCGATGAATGGCCAAGATGGAAGATCTCGTAATAGGAAATATTTCCAAAGCACACGATCCTGGACCAACAGGTGCCAATAATGATTAGTTGATCCAAGCATGCAGAGATCTTGTGGTGACAGAAATGACAAAATGTAGAGTTGCATATCAACCTGAAATACAAAAAAAATTATGAGTCAAAAAACATGAAATCCAAAACTTTGTAGGTTTTACAAAATCCATACAGTTAGAAATTACTTTCAGTAAAAAGCTATCGTGTGGCCTAGTTTGCTAGATGCAATAAAAGACGGTTTATTACTTTTGCGAACAAGATGTACTTTCCGTGGACGCGACAGACTTGCGCAATATTAAATCCAACCAGATCACACACATATGCTGACTCTAGGTCTTACCACCTCTCCTTCAGTGTGTCCTTCAAATTTTATGTTTTTTGTACCGGCAATCAGTGACTTTATAAAAAGGTACAGATCAATTAGCTGCTATTGAGATAAAAGTCTACCATGTGCCCTGTTTTTGCTGATGATATCGCGTATGTTCATTAGACTGTATTTGGCAATTGCATGTTTGTGCGTGCATTCATTGGCATGATTTCATTAAAAAGTGTACCTGTCACACATTTTCTTTTTTTTAAATAAACCTATTTTTGTATATATTTTTGGAAAGCACATAAACCCTTTGGATGTCACATTTGCATCCCACCCAGAGTCTATTATTAAAAAAATAAAGTGTATACTCCTTACAATGGAAGCTATTTTTTTTTGTGTGCTACATTATCTTGCACAAGATTTAATATTTAAGTTTTTAAAGTCAAATATATTTAACTAAATCAGAAACGCCTTAGCTGACTGGAATGATGGGGGGGAATATTTAAATACATATAGGGAATCAACACAGTAAAGGAGGAGACTATATTTAAAAAAGGAAAAACTACCAGGACATAGTCTTAAATTAGAGGGGCAACGGTTTACAAATAATATCATGAAGTATTACTCTACTGAGTGGGTAGTGGATGCATGGAATAGCCTTCCAGCTGATGTGGTAGAGGTTAACACAGTAAAGGAGTTTAAGCATGCGTGGGATAGGCATAAGGCTATCCTAACTATAAGATAAGGCCAAGGACAAATGAAAGTATTTAGAAAATTGGGCAGACTAGAGGGCAGCGGCATACATACCGCGGTCGCAGGGATCGCAGCTGCGACTGGGCCCGGCACTCCAGGGGGCCCGGCCGCCCTGCGGACCCCTGCGACCGGGTACCAGGCCTGCTGCCACATTTTGCGGCCCCGCATATGGAGGAACCATCGGGTGGCTCATGCTGTCAGGGCCACCCGATGGATATGCATTGTGAGGGGGCCCGGGCTGCGCTGGGGGTGCTTTAAGAGCGCGGCCGGGCCCCCTGTGATTACATCAGAGCTGGGAGGAAGTGATTCCCTGGTCACTCCTCCTAGCATACTGAGAGCCCGCGCAGGAGGAAGGAGGAGGGAGTCAGAGTGTGAATTCTGACTCCCATCAGGCTAAGCCACCACTGGACCCCAGGGAAATTAACAAGGTAGGAGACATTTTGTGTATGTGTTTCTCTGTATGTATGTGTGTGTGTGTGTGTGTCTCTGTGTGTGTGTTTGTGTATGTCTGTAAGTGTGTCTGTGTGTGTGTCTGTCTCTGTATGTGTGTGTGTGTCTCTCTGTATGTGTATGTGTGTCTCTGTATGTGTGTCTGTGTGTCTCTGTATGTGTGTCTGTGTGTCTCTGTATGTGTGTCTGTGTGTCTCTGTACGTGTGTGTGTCTGTGTGTCTATGTATGCAGAGGCGTACACACATTCCATGGGGCCCCATTTGTATGTGTCTGTGTATGTGTGTGTGTCTCTGTATGTGGTTGTGTCTATGTATGCAGTGGCGTACACACAATCCATGGGGCCCCGTATGTATGTGTCTCTGTGTGTGTGTCTGTATATATATGTGTGTGTGTCTGTATGTGTCTGTCGAGGGATGTATGTCTGTGTGTGTGTATGTATGTATGTATGTGTCAGGGGGATGGAGGGCATGGATCGGGGTAGAGAGAGGCGCACGGATCGGGGGAGAGAGGGGAGATGGCCCACGGATCAGTTTCACACCGGGGCCCCATGGATTGTGTGTACGCCACTGCTAGTGGGGTTGAATGGTTCTTATCTGCCGTCACATTCTATGTTTCTATAATAATTTAAGGTAAGTATTTATGCAGTGAAATGCTTATATCATTTGGTAATTATTGATGATACTTTAAATCTATATCTGACACCTAAAGTTGAATTAAGTTTCCATACCACTTCCAGTTGTTTCTCATCAGACTGTAAATGCCAAGTATTTTTAATATACCGAACAAGTTCTCACATCAACCAAAAAAAAATATTCCTATTAATTAAGAAATTATTTGGATGTAGAAATGCTCTCACACATCCGACACCAAAGACGAAGTGACGTAATCTATGATTAGCAAGCAACCAATTTGGACCACATCGCTAATCTACATGACACCCAGAGACACTCCCCCAGTTGAACTAATATATATAATATAAATGTCCTGATGAAAGTTCCTAGGTGAACTGAAACGTTAACCTTCTGTGGGATCTTCAATAAAGAAAATCTTTTTACACAAGACCTAGAGTGCTGGCTATCTTTATCTTTTTGGTATCTCAAAGTAAAGTTAATAAAAGTAAAATAAATAAATAAATAAAAAATGTATAAATAATATATATAATATATTAAAAAAATAAATTAAAAAATATGTATAAATATATATATTATTTATGCATGTTTTTTTAATTAATTTTTTAAATTTAATTTATTATATATATTATTTATACATTTTTTTAATTAAATGAGAGAGAGAGAGAGAGAGAGAGAGAGAGAGAGAGTGTGTTAATACAATGTTAAACAAAAATCTGCACACCAGTCAAGCCATAAGACTTGCCTTTCCCACAGAAGAGTTGCATTAACAACGAAACAGCTGTCCATGAGTGGTTCACTGGTTTTGCATCTTTTCCTAAATTGTGTTCCAAGCAGTTGTATACTGCAAACACAGATTAAAAGGAATCCATGTTTAAAATGGAATAAGGCAAAAATGTGATTCTTTGTTAAACTAATTTGCATATGCCCACCCAGAATCCTTTGCGGTTGTAACATCACTGCAGATTTGGGATTTCTGTGGGAAAAGCAAGTCTTATGGCTTGACTGGTGTGCAGATTTTTGTTTAACATTGTATTAACTATCCACAGACTTCAGGTGGAAGGGGTTTTCAATCACAATTTGTTCCCCACCATAACCTGTTTGGATTTTGAGATATATATATATATATATATATATATATATATATATATATATATATATATATATATATATATATATATATATATCGCTCCATGGGGAGCGATCACTCGGGAGCCCGGCAGTGTAGTGTGGTATTACATGATGCCTCGATATCGTGGCATCATGGAATACTATTAGAGCATCTGGAAGCGATCATTTTTGCCATGGACGTACAGGGTACGTCAGCGGTCGTTAACGACTGTTTTTTGTCTGACGTACCTTGTACGTCCGGTCACTAAGGGGTTAATTATATATGTAGCAGACACCGGGTAACCCAATCAGTTACCTCCGCTATTTCCTTCCTTCAGCCGCTCAGGAACCACTCTAGAATATAAAGAGACCCATTTCCCCCCCAGTATTTGGACGACACACAGCTCTGGAGGTGCAACACTGACTGACTGTTTATTTAGTCACACATGGCTTTACATGCACAGATCCCTATATGGGGTCTCCAACACAAAACAGCAAGGGTTTCAATCCCAAGAAGCTGATAGGTGATGGAAGAGGGATAAAGCAGCCAGTTCAAACTAGGGCTGGCAGTATCCCGGTGGCAATGCCCTGCTGTGACAAGAAAAGGAAGGGGGATTTGGGGGATTGAGAGGGGGAGAGGCACAGACAAGCAATACATTTCACTTAACTATACTTTACAGAGCTGCTGCCCCCCCTTCCTCCCCCCTGCCCCTTTGTTGACTCACAGCTTCATATACAGGCACATGAAAAACAATCCCAAAAATGTCAACGCAAGTTTATTGCCTGCACCAAACAAATCAGGCCAGCCGTTACATATCTCTCTCCATAGAAATAGACAGCAGGCATATGGGGATATGGCACTCGGTGATGGCGTACTGTCACACAGTATAGTTTTTTTTTTTATTCCAATTCTAAATAGATTATATTTTATGAGAAAATAAGTTAATGTGATAAGGTCTTGAAATGAACCAGCAAACTTACAGTTTAAAGGAGTAGTAGAAATTCCTTTAGCATGTGGGAGAGATCTGTTACGTACATTCTACAAAATAAAATCAGTTGTACTTGATTTTTAGATATACAATGTGGATTTAAATGTAACCCTCCTATTGAAGTTAAAAATATTCACACAGATGGCTGTAAAGTAGCACACACATCCATTTCGTTATGCAATCCTACATTATCTTCAGTGGCAGGCATCATGGAAGAGGCAGATCAAGCAAGTATTTGAAACCATTATTTTTCTTGAAAAAACAATGATCAGCCACAACAATAAAATAACCTGCCAAATACCTACATATGCTGCCAAAACAGCTCTGGTGCGTCAAGGCACGGACTCCAAAAGACCTCTGAATATGTCCTGTATTATCTGGCACCAAGATATTAGCAGCAGAATTTTTAAGTCCTGCAAGCTGTGGATGGGGATTCCATGGATCAGATTTGTTGTTCCAGCACATCCCACAGATGCTCAATCGGATTAGGATCTGAGTAATCTTCAGGCCAAAGCTATACCTTGAACTCTTTATTATGTTCCTCAAGCCATTTCAATCTTTGCAGTGAGGCAGGGTGTATTCTCCTGCTGAAAGAAGCCACTGCCATCAGGGAACACTATTGTCATGAAGGGGTGTACGTGGTCTGCAACAATCTCTAGGTAGATCACAGGCAAAAGCATAACACGGAATGCCTTCTTTCCCACAGTGCATCCTGCTGCCATCACTTCCCCAGGTAAAAGAAGCACATGCATCTGGCTATCCACCTGATTTTAAAGAAAATGTGATTCATCAGACCAGACAACCTTTTTTTAATGCTCCATGGTCCAGTTATGACCCTCACGACCTCATTGAAGGTGCTTTCAGCAATGGAGTGAGGTCATCATGGGCACTCTGACCGGTCTGAAGCTACGTAGCTCCATACACAGCAAACTGCGATGAACTGTGTGTTCTGACACTTATCATGGCCAGCATTGTTTTTCAGCAATTTAAGCTACAGTCGCTCTTTTATGCGATAAGCACAGATGGCTAGCCTTCGCTCTCCAAGTCCATTAATGAACATTGGGTGCTCATTACCCTGATGCTGGTTGTCCTTCTTTGCACCACATTTGGTATATACTAACCACTGCATACTGGGAACACCCTACCAGACTTCCCATTTTGAAGATGCTCTTACCGAGTCGTCTAGCAACCACCATTTGCCCCTTATCAAAGCCATTCAGATTGCTTTCCCATTTTTCCTGCTTCAAACACATGACATTCAAGAAATAACTGTTCACTTACTGCCTAATACATTCCATGCCTTGACATGTGCCATTGTAATTGATATAAATCCAATCTGATCTTTGTTATATTCACGGGAACCCAAATTGTTTCAAGTGCACTTGGAAAAGAGTGAATTCAGACACCAGACACGTGTTGGTTATTAAAATAAGCCTCTGACCTTTATTTTGTCAGTTATGTTTTTATACATTAAAAAACTAGTGCTTAAGTGCAAATACTCATAGAACAGTAGTAGGGAGGGAGTAAAAGGGTAAAGGGAGTACAGATAAGACATAGGGATGAACATCATGTACATATAACAGACAAGTTCCGGGAAAGAGAAGGAGCAGACTGATTTAGTAGAGACAGCTCAGGTGGGGGATATCTGCTCCCGGAACTAGACATATTTGGTCTTCAGTGTTGTTTTAAGCATTAAGCATTTCCTGAGTCCAAGTTAGCCACTTTTAATATAGGCTATCTAATATGACACCTATAAGCTTGAACCTTGGAATCAAGGTAAATTCTTTCACATAATGAAATAATTGTTAATATAATAGATGTTGTGACGGATCCTCCATCAATCGATGCTCCTAGTGCTTACCAAGGACCATCAGCAACGCACCAGACACCATAAGCTATGCAGACTACACGAACTGCCGCTGCTTGGTTGGGGTCTCGCCGTCTCCTACTCACCCTGGACCTACGACAAGGCTCCAGACTCCAGTGGGTGAATCTCTCTTCCTTCAGAGAGCGAAGCAGGAACAGCTCTTAGAAGAGCTAGTGATTAGAACCCTGGGGAGTATGCAGAGTATAGCAATCCCCAATGTGATTATAGCGGTTCCCTACAACACGAGACGAGGCTGTGAGTTGAGGGTAAAAAGGTTTGAAGGTTTATTGAACAGCTTGAGTTTTTATACAGTTTTCCCCACAAGGTTGACGCCCAAGTGAACCTTGTAGGGCACAGGATACAGAATTAACAAACCAATAAAAACGGAGTCTTACATGCAGACACTCCCCTACAGTGTACACAATCACTCCCCTCTGCCTGTGATACAATTAACAAACCGAATGGGCTAACTCAATTAGCTCTAAACAGAAAAAAACATACATTTTTACAAACCTCAAAAAGTACTCCAAAACACAACATATCCCTACATCCCCTGATAGCTCTGATCTGGGTGAACAACATATCCAAAAATGACCCAGATCGGTTCAGGGGTTCAGGAATTTCCTGGAAGTCTTATTTTTACCCCCCGTACACATTGTCCCATGCCCAAAACAGTTCTATACACTAGACGACAAAGCACCCCTGGACAATTTAAAATGGCCGCCGCCACATGTTTGAATGTGTTCCAGTTAGAAGTCCAAGGGGCAGAAACTGTTTATTTTGTCATAAAATGCAGTTTAGGGGGTACAGAAAGAAAAAAAGGGGAAGGGGTAAAACAGTGTATCTTCACAGAAATGGAACACACAGTTTATTGTTATTCAGTAGTTTTATAGACATGGGAGGAGCACATTACTTTTCACATATAGATTATGTTACGAGTCGTTACCTCTCTGTGTCTTTGTATTGTGTGAGGATCGTGGTAGGATGGGGTCTTCTGATTTAGGTACTGGAAGGCAAGGGCATGTAGTTGGGAGGGGCGGGGACAACATGGGGAGATGAGGAGGGGGAGGAAACTTTGCATCCAGCCAGCTCTTTGCAAGGAGGTTATAAGGCTTTTGGTATAAATGTCATGCCCTAGGCACACAATTTGGTGAGTACTTCTCTTCTGTGAGCAAGCCTCATAGTGTTCAGCTAGTATTGGTACGGTCTCCTGTATTTAGTTTTATGATTAGTGAGGTACTTGTGTCACCCTCAAGTCGGGTGTTTCAGCTCCCAGCTTTCCCATACTTCATGTCTCCAACTTTTATTGGGCGGTACCTGCGATAGATTTGATTCATATTTCCCAATTTGGGAGAGATGTCGAATCAGCTCTTGCATTGTCGCATTGGTGGGTGATAGCCAATTTTGTGCGATAAAGTTTTGGGCCGCTACAAGTATATGGAGTATTAGGTATTTAATCAGCTTGGGGTAGTTGGCTTTGAACATGAGTAGGAGCAGAGAGGTCGGGGAGTTCGGTATCATGATTGAAGTGTGTTGATGTATTAAAGAAATAACTACTTTCCAGTACGGTTGAAGTTTCGAGCATTTCCACCAAGTGTGTAGGAACGTGCCCGTCTCCATTTTGCAGCGCCAGCAAATGCTGGACATCTTCGGGTCCATAGTGGCTAGACGTGTTGGGACCATGTACCAGCGGTAAAAAAGTTTGCGGGTGATCTCTAAATGAGAAGCGCAAAATGTCAGGCCCCTGGTTGCGTTTACGGAGGTCAGCCAGGTCTGTTCTGGCAGTGTTTGATCCAGGTCATTTTCCCAGGAGCGTACACAAGTAAGGGATTTAATTCCCTTTCGGGGCATTAATAACATGTATATGTGGAGATGGGCTTTTTCGCCGGCGCGTCTGCCATTATAATCTTTTCAAAGGGTGTTAGGGCAATAGTAGTGGGCGGTGTGGGGTGTGGTACATGGGTTTTCCACCATGAAGTCAGCTGTAGGTATGAGTGGTGTGCAGTGTTTGGTAGTATGTGGCTAATCTTCAATTGGTCAAATGTGGCTAGTTTGTCCTTGTCCAGTAGAGAATGTATGTAGAACACCCCGCATCTATTCCATACCCTATGATTAAAGTCAGGTATCATATGCGCCAGAGCTTTAATGGGGGTCGAGAAAGGAATCAGGTAGCAGCTGCACAGGAGTTTGCGGGTGGAGTCCCAATTTTTTTGTGTTGTTAAAGTGGCAGGAAGTGTGGTCGAGGTGTCTCCCCTTTGGTGGGGTGGCAACCATATCCCTGTTTTAATGTCTTGGTTTTTCAACCAGTGTTGTTCTATGGAGACCCACTGGGGAGGGGACGTATTTTAGTTAATGGAGAAGAGGCTAGCCAAAACCGCTGCCTTGTGGTATAGGTGCACATTAGGGAGACTCATACCGCCCATCCGTACGGGTTGGTACAATGTGGATAGGGCTACTCTGTTTTTTTCCCTGCCATATGAATAATTAATTTGCTTTTGGAGGGACAGGAAGTAAGCAGACGGCACTGTTAAGGTGAGTGTCCTGAATAGGTATTGTAACTTGGGTAATATCACCATCTTCACTGCTGCTATGCGGCCGGACCAGGAGATAAATTTATTTCTCCAGTTTAGGAGGGTGTTGGTAATATCTTTGCTAAGTTTGACATGTGGTACAAGTTGGACATAGTGTGTGGTTGTTTGATCCCCAGGAATGTGAGGTAGTCTGTTCTCCAGTCATAAGAAAACTGGCTTCGCAAGTTGGGCAGAGTCATCCTCCATCCCCACCCCCATGGCCTATGTCTTGGATAGATTTAGCTTATAGTACGAACAGTGGCTATATTGCTGCAATATAGCATGGAATGCTGGTAAGGATTTGTGTGGGTTGGTTAGTTAGCAAGACATCGTCTGCGAAAAGGTTACATTTTTGTTCCACACCTTCAACTTTGACGCCCGTGATCTCCGTCGATGAGTGGATGGTTTTGGCTAAGAGTTCTAAAGCCATGATGTATAAGAGAGGCAAGAGGGGGCACGCCTGCCGAGTGCCATTAGTGATAGGGAAGGACATTGATAGGAATTCGGACGTGAAGACCCGGGCCTCAGGGTTACTGTATAGTGATTTAACCATGGAAATAAAGTGTGAGGGAAAGCCAAATTTAGTCAGGACTGCCTGCAGGAACAGCCAGTGCAGGCGATCAAAAGCTTTTTCAGCGTCCAAAGATAGTAGGAGACTGTTGGGGAAGTGTCTGTTCATGGTATGTAATAATGCAAGGGCTTTGCGCATGCCGTCCGCTCCCTGCCCGCCATGCACAAAAACGACTTGATCGGAGTGTACAATAGTCGGCAGGATTGTCGTCAGTCTGTTGGCATAGACTTTAGCCAGGATCTTCACGACCGAATTTAATAAGGAAATAGGTCTAAAATTGGCGCAATGGACTGGCGGTTTGCCAGGTTTTGGTAAGGTGGCCACATTGGCCACGAGCATGTCCTGCGGTATGGTTGCTTGCGCAGTGGTGGAAGTGAAAAGTGACACCAGTCGGGGGACGAGGATGGAGGAGAACCTTTTATAGTATAGATTTGGAAGTCGATCTGGGCCTGGGGCTTTGTTTAATGGTAGGTTCTGTATAACTGTAAGTACTTCCGTTTGTGAAATGGGTCCTGCCAGGGACTCTTGTTGCGAGGCTGAGAGCATGCGCAGATAAACTTTGTTCAAGAAGTTGGCTATCTCCTCTTCAGTAGGCTGGTGTACCATAGGATCGTTTTTTAAGTTACAGAGTTGGCTATAAAAGTCATCGAAAAGGTCGCTGATCTCTTGGGGTTTGATTACCTTTTTCCTATCTTGTGTGAGGAGATATACTATTTTGGTTTGGGCCTGTGCATCTCTAAGTCGGTTAGCCAGAAGTGAACTGGCTTTGTTTCCTATACAGTACTCCCTAGCTTTCAGTTTTTGAAGTGTACAGGTTGTGCTAGCTATGTTTATGTCATTGAGTTCGGATTGGGCTTGGGTGATTGTTGCAGCGTCTTCCGGGTTTGGGTTGAGTAAATTGGAGGCTGATGCGTCTCTCAAATTCCTCAGTAGGTTCAAGTATTTTATCTGGGAGGTCTTTTTTAGGAAGGAGGATCGTCGTATAAACAATCCGCGTACTACAGCCTTATGGGCTCTCCATACCAATGTCGGTGACGTCTCCGGTGACTCATTAATAGAGAAGTAGTGCATGAGTTCAGATTCTATTTCTGAGCTAAATTTGTTGTCCTGTAAGATGGAGCCATTAAGTCTTCATGGGTTACAGCCCCTAAAGGCGAATTCGTCTCTAAACGTAGTAAACACTGGCGTGTGGGCTGACCAGACGATGTTGCCCATGTGACATGTTTGAAGCAGATTAAGAGAAGGTCCCGGTATGAGTAGTATATCTATTCTGGAGTACGTCCCGTGAGGTTTAGAGTAGTATGAGTAGTCCCTATCTAAGGGGTGGAGTGTCCTCCAACAGTCATACAGATTAAATTTCGTCAAGAGTTGTGTTAGGGCTTTGCAAGTTGGTTTGAGGGATTTCTGTCGGCCTGTAGTAGAAGACATGGAAGTGTCTAGGGTTGGGTCCAGGACGTGGTTTATATCCACGCAAATTATCCTGGTGCCTCTCTGTGCAGCTACCACCTTTGTGAGGACACTGACTAGAAAATTCCTCTGGTTCTCGTTAGGCGCATACAAGTTTACAAGGGTGTATTGTATGTTATTCATCAAACAAAAGACAATCAGGTATCTGCCCTGGTTGTCCGAGATGTCCTCATATGAGTTTAGGGATGATGGGAAAACATAGTACGGCTTTGTGCCCAAGGAGTGCAAGCTCCGGCTGTGCAGTGCGTGGGTCATACCCCACAGCACCCGGTGTGTGAGCCTACGTAACTGATGTGTGGTATAGGGCAACCAAGGCATTACACGTACAAACAGTAAGTAGAATGGGAGGGTGCTCTTTTCATTTTATACACCTGAAGCCCGCTGCATACTGTAGGGTATCTTAATTAGTAGAACATTATGAAGTATTACGCTCTCCACTCTACATATCCGAGCCCTGCTACCGTCTGTGGGGTGTCAACAGTCAGTGCTTAAGGTAACACAGTAGCAGTATTAGGTCGCATGTCACACTGGGTACCCAACAGAACTTTACCAACATGGGCAGGAGCCCTGGCTATATAGTAAGCGAAATGAAGCCTGGCCCTAATCCTGCAGTGTATACGTACATGTAGCTTAAGTGTCAGGGTGACAGGCTGATAACAGGGCACTGCGTGTGGGGCCTGTAATTTGTTAAAGAGAATGCTCTCACCGTCTGACTGGTATCTGGGCAGAGTGTGGATTACTCAAGGTAGAAGTCATCTCATATATTAAGTCAGTGCTTCAAATGGGTGTATCGGTAAGGATGAACATAACCTGATACTACATGTACAACTTGCAGACAGTGTGGACAGCTATTAAGCAAATGGGTGTAGTGGTGAAGAAAGTATGGAATAGTTTCACAAGTGCTGCTCGCAAACAGGGTGGACAGACTGGAGTTTAGACGGTATGTGATGTCTGCCACAGCACCCCTAGTGGACGACATGGGCCGTCATAAATCCAGCGAGTATATCTGTTGGGTAAGACATGACCTGGCACTACGAGTACAGCTATCATACAGGTGGACCAACTGGGCATGCCGGTTTAGGTGAAATGTGAGATATGGTACTACGGTTACAACTAATAAACAGTGTGGGCGGACATTGGTCATACGGGTAAGTCGGTCAGTTGGAGTGCAACATGGTACTACGAGTACCCTAGCAAACATTGTGGGCAGGTGGTGGTCAAACTGGGGAGTCAGTCAGGTGAAACGTGATGTGGTACTACGTGTATAACTAGTAAACAGTATTGGTCGGCAGCGATCAAACGGTTAGGCAAAGCATGTCATGGTATTGCTAGTACAGCCAGCAAACATTATGGACAGGTGCAAATGCAGTGTGGTGGTTAAAAACTGTTTGCGTACTGCAAGACATGTTAGTAATAGGTCCACAAATGCCTGTTGAGCTAATACGGTTTGGCCTTAAAGTAGCAGCCGGGCGTCAATAACTGAGCGTCAGAGATGTTGTGCTGCCGGAGCGGGAATACTTGTGGTAGGTCGTCAGTTAGCGATGTGCCAGTCCTTGTCCACCCTCCGCGGTGGTTTCTGGGCTTGTGCTTCCCCCACAATGGTCAAGTTCCACTGGTGTAGGAGGTTCAGACCATCTTCCACTGGAATATTCAGTGGGAAGGTCCTTCACAGTTCTGCTTCTTTTCATTAGTATGTCTTTCACGTGTTAATAATGTGCCTTTAGCAGCACATCTCTGGGTAATGATGCAGCAATCTGTTGGGGTTTCGGAACCCTGTGCAGGCGATCTAGTAACAGCATGTCCGTGGGGTTCTCGGGAATCAGGAGTTTAAAAAGGCTGTGTATGTGGCTGGGGAGATCCGCCGGGAGAACAGTCTACGGTATACCCCTTAGCCTGATGTTACTTCTCCTGGATCTGTCTTCGAGGTCCATGAGCTTTGCCTCACATTGTTGTAGTTGGGCGGTGAAGGATTTGATCTGCTCCGTGGACGCATTGTGCGCATCGACCAGGTCCTCCAATTTGGCCTCCAGGTGTGTTGTGCGGGATCCGATGTCTTGCAGGTCTCGTTTCAATTCTGCGACACTAGATTGCCAGATGGAGATCAGCCGTTGAGATTGCTTGCCCAGAGCTTGTTTTAGAAGAGCAGTAGTTAGCGGTTCACTGTCTTGTGGTGAGTCTGCCTCCGACCTCGAGCTACTTCCCCCAGAGAGTTCGGCGCCATCTTGAGGGTCCGCGGTTGCGGTTTGCCTTGCCAGGGCCGCTACCTTTTTCTGGGCAAAAAAGTTCAGTTTGTCGGGCTTATCTTGGTGCCGACGGGTTTTGGATTGCGACATCCCGAGAATAGCCTCTTAGTTCCCGCAGGAATCCCACAATTAAGTAGTATTGCCTAGCTCGTAGTGCAGAGCTAAAGACTCATGCGGCCATCTCTCTCCGCGTCCAGCCACGCCCCCCATAGGCTGATGTTTTTATTTTGGCATGCATTTTTGATTCTTGATTTTGTTAATTTTAATTGTATGATTTCTGAGGAACCGCCTACTTGGAACGAAACACGTAGGACCTTGGCTTCTTTTAATATTTTATTAATTTGCATTTGCAATTTGTTAATAAATAAATTACTTAATACTATAATAAGTAAATTACTTCATTTCACCTGCTTGCTGTCTTGCTGGTTCCGTTCCTGAGAGAAAGGGAGGACGCAAGTAGTCCAGGCCCTTGTCCCTACCAGGGGAGAGACAGGGAGATGTTTGAAGATTACACAAGTCTGTGAGTGCAATCAAAATATTTATCCTGGTATACAGTATCACACATAACATGTAACGTATAACATGTTTTGTTTGTTTGATTCTTTTTATATATACAGCTCTATCCTTGTTGTATCAGTTGATCCTTGCTCCCAAACAATGTTGTTATAACATACATTATTAAGAATTATAAAATAATAAAGAAATAAAATAGTTTTAGCACAACCTTTAGCTAACTTTTAGTTAGTACAATATAAAGATCACATTTTCATACCTGGCTGATGTCCTTGCCAACCACACATTTAATACAATTCTGGGAAGTGCATTAAATATGCTTTTATTTAAAGGGACTCACCAGTGCCAGGAAAGCAAACTGTTTTCCTGGCACTGCAGGTCCCCTCTACCTCCCACCCCCCATCCTATGTTTAAACCCCTTCAGTGACTTACCTGTATCCAGCGCCGATGTCCCTCGGCGCTGGGTCAGGGTTAGCCCATGCTTCTCCCCCGCTGATGTCATCCGGCGGGGAGACCTATTGAGCATGCGCGGCCGGCGGCGGCGGCGATCTAATGCGATGTGCATTAGACCTCCCCATAGGAAAGCATTGAATAATGCTTTCAATGCTTTCCTATGGGTATTTTAGCGACACTGGAGGTCCTCACATAGTGTAAGGACGTCCAGCGACGTTATAACACACTTTTAATGTTTTATGAACACGGATGTGTCCTCTAGTGGCTGTCCACTCCACTGGGCAGAAGTGGTCTGGGTGCCTGGAGTGTCCCTTTAATGCTTAAATCCTATCTAGAACAGCCTAGAACCTAGTGGGACAGTCCTGATTTTGGGCCCCTGTCCAACCTTACTGGGTTTTTTTCTCTAAAAGGGAAAGACAAACACAATGCAAGGCTTGTTCATGGTATTACTGGCCAAGCTCTTTCTGAGCAATGGGGCAGCCATTATTGACAGGATTGCAGGGCTTGCTTGTCACCCCGACCCGTATGGGCTCCAGGATGACATGGACCTTTCAATGACACAAGTGACATGAATGCCATCACTGGTACAGCCTCACATGCCCCATGTTTCATAAGTATTCAGGTCTAAAAGTATTTAACTTACCGTGATTCAGAGTTATTATAACATGGCAGAATTTAACAATCTAGAGATAGTTCCCAAGCATATTTCCTCCCCCTTTAATGTTTTGTATTGTAAACAGCTTGCAAAAGAACAAAAATCTACATATATGAAAGCATAAATACCAAAATATTACTGCCATTTTGTCCCCCCTGACAACTGCTTTTCTAGCAGCCCAGAATATTAAATAATATAAAGTGTCCCACAGTTCCATATGAATAATATTTACAGGAATACATACTTATACTGCAATAAATAAAATCGTTTAATCCTGACCTAAAACGTTTATTCTTTACATAAACGACTATCAGCACGTCATAAATGAAGGTAAATATGTAGAAAATTCAGGCTGCACCTTCAAAAACAAAAATAGGAAAATGACTACTTAACAATAGGAGGTATATTTTGGGCCTACTGGGCTTTCGACACGACTGTTTATTTACAAAGTTCAGCAGTGTTGAACTTTCAATGTTGTAAGTGAAGCAATAATCAGTAAAATACCAGTGTTATCTGAAGGTTCTATGGGGCTCAGTCCACATTTGCTCTTTATATATAACCATAGATATTTGCTTTCTTATCGCAGTTGTTTTGATGGAAGGGAAAGGGTCAACAGACAACCTGATTGAGATAAGGATTAGAATTAAATGTATACTATTGTTAAAAAGTATATATACATACACACATATATCATGTATACATTATTTTATTAATTACAAAAGAAACAAAGTTTTTTTTACCTCAAAGGAGAAAAATACAGGTGGATTGGCGCTAGAAAGTGCAGAACAGGAACAACCCCCAGTGTCTCAAAATCACTCAAAGACACTAACTAAAAGTCAAACTACAATACGCAATGTGGGGGGTGCAAGTGAGAGAAAAACAAATAAATACTTATATTTGGTAACCGTGAGTCTTGAAATTAATGGTATATAGAGCCTAAGATAGCAGGCTCTAGCTGTAATCACTTTTGAAAGCTGTTTCCGGAATATTATAATTGCACATAGAGGAAATGACGTAAGGACGGTATATGTGTCATGATGTCAGAATACGGAACTACTACGGGGAAGAACACCGGGCGGGAAATTTAACTTCCGGAAAGATGAATTTAAAAACACGCCGGGAGAAGTTGAGTTCATGCACTTTGATAAAGACTGATTGTCGAAACGCGTTAGTGCTTTTTATGTGTTATTTTATGTACGGCTGCTTTTTTAAAGATTGTTATCTGTTTTTTGGAGTAAAATACTTTTAATCCTCATTTATCCTTGCTTGGCATCCATCCTTTAAGCATTGGGGAGAGGACAACAGATACATCAGGAAGATCGTGTGTATAGCCTGAAAAAGCTGATTTTTCAAAAGTGATTACAGCTAGAGCCTGCTATCTTAGGATCTATATACCATTAATTTCAAGACTCACGGTTACCAAATATAAGTATTTTATTTGTTTTTCCTCTCACTTGCTGCCCCCAGATTGTGTATTATTTTATTAATGCGCACAATTTAGGAAAATAACTCCTCTCAGGTTTGAACATGCAAACTATCTACAGAAATAACTGGTTTTAAGTGGGCTGGATAAATTCTAATTGCTGATCATGACTTGTGGTTAGACCACTCACAGGATGAATACAGATTCATTGCTATAGCAACAGAAGAGTAAAGTATTATTTTAGATCTTTAAATGATAAAGTTTAGGGGAGCAACTTTTTTTTTTTTTTTTTAAATGTGATATGCCATGAAACTATTTTATGGTCTGTGTTCTAACACTTACTCAGCAACAACATGCACTTATTTAATTTAATAAATATACAAAACCATGGGTTCTTCATTTATACCCATCCGGAACTATTGTGTGAAAAGCCCACAAAATAAAGATTGACAAGAAAATAAAAAACACCAGAATAAAAAGAGTTTATGCTTAGAGTAACAATATACTAAACAGGTTTACCAACAAATTAATGACACACAAAAGAAATTACTCAAAGAGCATTGTAATATGTCACAGAAACCCTTGATTGATGTATGAGAAAACGTTATACCCACTCAATCCAAATAGTTAGATAAACGCAAATTAACAAGAAGAATAAATGACCAATTCTGATATTCAGTGCAATGTTCAGTAAACATAAACCCAACCACACACTGATTTAATGTGAGCAGTCACTGATAGTCTAAGGCAGTGTTCCCCAATCCAGTCCAACCTGTACTGTTGGTGGTCCATGAGGACTGGGTTGGGGAACACTGGTCTAAGGAACTGCACTTGTTACGGACTACTATTCCCATGATACTTTGTTATGAGGGTGGACTACTAAGTATCTAAGGAATGGGTACAGAATGGCCAGGACTCAGAACTAAACCTACCTCGTGATACATTATCATTCTAAAGGCTAGAAAATCATCAAAGAGAGCAGTAGTTCTAGGACAGCTACTGGGAATACATGCATGTAGCACCCCGGAAACTAGGCAACTACAATCCCATCCCCATAGCCTGAGAGTAATGAGAATCCTGTGCGGTGCTTACTTACCGGCAGGGCACACAGTGGGCTATCCACCAGCTCTAAGTTGTCCCTGGCATATCGGGTCTCTTTGTCCTGGGGGTCTTCCCGACCTCTCACACTCTGCAGGTACCGGCTTCTCATCTGCCTGAATCCGTTCATAATGGCTGTCTCCAGGCGAGCCCATTCACCGAGAGGCTGAGTGCCCCCTTCAGCCATGGCGCCTTCTGTCGGCGACAATCCCTGACCTGGTACCCTTGGCACTGCCAGGTGTCCGCTGGGTTGATCAATGAGTAAAACAGCAGGACTGGCAGCCACTTCCACTGGAGGGAGTACTCCTGATCTAATAGCAGGACTGGCACCCACCCACACTGGTATCCCTGGCAGCGCTGTGTATACTGATCTAATAGCAGGACTGGCACCCACCCACACTGGTATCCCTGTATATATAGATGGGCGGACACTGGTGTTGGTATCCGTGGCAGCGCTGGCTGTGATGATTTATATCGCAGAGCTGCCAGTCAGTTCCACCGGCCCAGGCTGGGCTGTGTTTATTGTGTTTCCCTGCGTTCTGATAATGATACTTTGTATCTGAGCAGCACTTCCTGTTACAAGGTGAAGGTTCCACGCTGGATCCAGGAAGATAACTCTGCGTGGGAATAAGGTCACATGTTCTGTGACGGGAAATCCGATACATGTGACTCAGTGGTCCAAGGAGAGTGACGTGTTGTATCTTTTAAACATGTTAATAACGGACACGAAAGCCACCTTTCATCAGTGTATGTGGTATCAGACAGCTCCAAACTGAAAATAAAGGAATGACTAGAACCATTTAAAGGGACACTATAGTGACCCAGACCACTTCAGCTCAATCAAGTGGTCTGGGTGCCATGTCCCTCAGGTTTGAACCCTTCACATGTAAACATAACAGTTTCAGAGAAACTGCTATGTTTTCATTAGGGGTTAAGCCAACCTCTAGTGGCTGTCTTCCGGAGGCGCATCTGCGATGCTGGATGCGAATTTCGCATCCATCGCGCAGAGCGTCCATAGGAAAGCATTGAGAAATGCTTTCCTATGGACTGTTTGAATGCGCGCGCATTAAGCTCCAGTCGGGAGCTGACATTGGCGGGGGAGGAGAGGTCACCAGCGCCGAGGGAGCCCGGCACCTGGCGCCACGGGAGAGTGACCCTGAGGGTGGAGGCACCCTCAGGGCACTATTGTGTCAGGAAAACCGCTTTGTTTTCCTGACACTATAGTGATCCTTTAATTACTTACTTGTTTTGTATTAGGGTCAAGTACTGTATGAGACAGTAGACGGTCAATCGACTGTGTACACATGTGCGCGGCGGGGTTAGCAGTGGGAGGGTTAATGCACACGCGCTGCTGACAGGTCGCAAGGTCTGTGCGATGCCATCCTGGACAGATAGCGCAGAGGTCCGCTGTAAGGCAGGAAACCGCAATATGTAAGGCGCCCTGAGGTAGCAGCTGGCTCCAAAACAGCTGAAGTAAATTAGAATTAGAAATAGCTGTAAAGTTTGGATTGGAGCTGTTCCCCGCCCTCCCTCAATATCATTTTATTTTATTGCATGTCGTGGTTTTTTATTGGGATTAAGGTCACCTGCCTATTTTAAAGAAGGGAGAGTAGCTGAGTTTGGTGATTCATGTGTTAAATCTCTGGGGGTTTAAAAGACTGGAGATGTTTGGTTACAAGTTATATATTTTAAAGTGATTACGTTACAGTTTTGTTATGTTTTGTAAACTAAATAAAAGACCACAGCCTTTTCACCACATATTTGAGTTTGTATGTATTATTATTTTACTGTACTTATTATGTGTATTTCTTAAATGTTGTTATGTTTGGGGTTGTTAAGGTTAACCCCTGCAGTGCACATGTGTGTGTAATGTGTGTAATACATGAATAAAGTATTTCAAAAGGAAAACACAATCCTCAGCAAAAGAATAATTCACAGCGAATAGTGTAGCTAGGGAAACGTCTTATATTGGTCGTTACATGTCATACACTGCAAGTGCATTACTAATACTGTTTCAGAGTTAATGTTTTAACAATCTTTTATGGAACTCACAACTGGCACAGACAGTTAATTGTATTTTTAAGAGGATTATCCAAAGGGCGCACACTCCTAAGGCAGACCTGACAGACAGTTATAACACACATTACAGTGAATTCTTGCTGTGAAGCTCTGTGATGTACACTTACACGTGTTGTGAATCAGAATGTTGATCTTTGTTATATTCAGAGGAAGCCTAAATTGTTGTTACAAGTGCACTTGGAGGAGCGAGAATTAGACACCAGACACCTGTTGGTATTCAAAATAAGCCTCTGCCGATTTATTCATCAGCTGGGTTTTATACATTATAAAGTAAGTGCTTACGTGCATATACTCATAGAACAGTAATAGGAAGGGAGTACAGATAAGACATAGGGATGAACGTCATGTACACATAACAAATAAGTTCCAAGGTAAGAAAGAACACAAAGATTAGAAAAGAGACATCTTAGGTGGGGGCTCTCTGCTCCCGGAACTAGACATATATGGTCTTAAGTGTTGTTTAAGCATCAAGCATTTCCTGAGTCCAAGTTAGCCAATTTTAATATAGGATATCATTACATGACACCTATAAGCTTGATATAAACAATACAATCTACAAAAATAAATAAACATAGAAAAACATAGTGTAATATATTAAAACACCAGAAGTGCGCTGATTCAAATTGCACTCACAGGATAAAAGAGCAGTACAGGCATATAGCGATCTTTTGGACTTGACGGATATCTGTAATCTTCTTTTTGACCTTATTGAAGAGGGAGAGACACACAGGACATAGTGCACCAGTATGATGTAAAACAATATTATTTATTAAATTGCACTCACAAGAAAATGGTTGAAATCCAGCATATCAAACACTCAGGGGTTCACAGTGCCAAAATCCTTCCTCCCGTAGCGAGTAATAAGAAAAAAACGGATAAAACCACATAAGAGGAAGGATGTCGGCACTGTGAAACCCTGAGTATTTGATATGCTGGAAACAACAGGGCCCCGGTGCGAAAACTGCCCTGGGCCCCACCCCTCCCCCCCCCCACAGTTTACCCCCCTGCCACATACATACACACATACAGAGACACACACACACATATAGACATACACACAGACAGACATACACACACAGACAGACACACATATACAAACACATATACATATAGACAAACATACATACACACATACAGAGAAACATTCATATGACACACATACACAAACACACACATATACAAAATGTTTTAGTCACCCTCCTGTTTCCAACCTTTCAGGTGCAGGAGGGTGACTTTTCCTGGGATCCAGTGGTGGCTCAGCCTGATGGGAGTCAGAGTTCCCACTCTGAATCCCTCCTTTTCCTCCTGCGCGGCTCCCGGTGTAAGCTGGGAGGAGTGACAGAGGAAGTCACTTCCTCCCAGCTGTGATGTCATTTAACAGTGCGACCGGGCCCCCTGGAAATTAATTTCCGTTGGGTGGCTCTAAGAGCATGGGCCACACGATGGGCCCCTTAACATGCGGCCCCCGGCAGTTCTACCGCGCGGGCTGGGGCCGCAACACATTGGTGGTGGGCACTGCAGCCGCAGGGGTCAACAGGGCGGCCGCAGTAGTTCCGACACTGACTGTGAGTTTTATTGCTGTGGAGATGTGATACATTTAACTTACAAATACCACACATTACTGTTAACTTAGTAATGAGAAGCTTTGTGTATTGTAATCGGACTCTACAATAACCTCATCCCCAAATCCCTCTGACCCCCATTATCCACACTTCCCATCTCTTTATCTACCCCATTTCTCATTCTTTTCACTGCAGCTCGATTATTAATAAGCATTAAGGGGATACTATTTAATTCTGCAAAACATTTGTTATTTTGCACACAACTATAAAGATTTGAGCATGCAAAAAGCTACATGATATTAATGATTCCAAATTCTATCAAATGTTCCAATGCATTAAAATCGCTTTATTGCCCAGAGCGTCCTTTATGTTGCTTCCGTGAGCCTATGGAATCTGTATACTTATAGAAAGCATGTAATGTGTACTATTAAGAAGGATTTTAAATGTATTTGTTTGGGCAGGCTCCTCTTCACCTACATTTCCTGTATGCCATACATGTTTGTTAGAATAAATGTTTGTCTTGTTTCCTTTGTACAGCGCTGCAGAATACGTTGGCACTATATAAATTATAAATGTATGTACACACTCTGCTGGAGATTTAGAGCTGCACTGCACACAGTTTACCCACCTGCACAAACCAGACTGATGTAATGTGTAAGGAAGCCTATTGAAGGCGTGGGAGAACTTAAAACTGCATTTCCCCCCAGTAGGTAGCCTTTTACTCTATATCTAGAGATAGCTGGTCTGTGCTGGCCTGTTATCAGTGTGCAATGTGTACAAGTATGGGATGAAGTCTTGAGGCACCAAATATCCACTAAAATACAGTGTGTCTAAGCACAATGCCATGGGATTGGCTGCAATATTATATAACCCCTATAGCATCTCTAGATGCATTAAGTGTACCAGTACCCTGAAGGGAAGCTCTTGCTCTAGTGTCCCCTTGGATCTGCCAATTATACAGACATAAACTTATATTTTTGCAATGGCTTACAGAAACATGATGTTTTATACACCAGTACATTCTACAAATTTGTTTATCTGAATCCTCCCAGTATAGGAATATATATAAGCATTGTTAAGGAGTGGCTTTAGGGCCTGAAGTACCATTTATGGAGTTTGTTTGTTTTTTATTCTTTATTTTTGGCGTGTCGTTCCTTTGCACTTTGGCAGTCAGGTAAGTATTACATAGTACGTACATTGATAACTTTTGGTACAAATATATGACATGTATTGCGATTCTTACAGAATTATGTTCATCATCTCAAAATCGAGTGTACTTGTTTGTTGGTGACACTTTTTTGGAACGAATAAACAGTTAACATATTAGAGGGTTAGAAACCATTGTAGAGTATTTCCTCTATTTTGGATGACTTCCACTCGCAGCGTAAGGCATCAAGTCATGGTCTCTATTTCTCCCAATGGCGTGTAAGAGAAGGGATTAAGAATAGAGAAGAATAAAGAGGAGAGGGGAGGGTAGGGGAGGTACCCCTCCCGACGATCGGAGTTTCATGTGGATTGCGTTCGGGTTCGGTTGGGGGGTTAGGGTGTTGGTGGTGCCCCTTGTTCGGTTCCTACCTCAGCTCTCTCTGTCACTGGCCTTCCAGAGCTCCCATACCTTTTCATATGCTTTCAAGGTACCTCTCACCAATGCACCATTTATGGAGTTTTACGGCCCTGGATTTCTTCAAGTGTCAGGGTTCTAGTGCTTTTATCATTTTATACTAGGGGACAGCTAATCAAAACAGCTTTAGCACATTCCAGCAAGTTACACTACTACAATTTATAGTAAGGCTTAGGTAGATATAATGAGAAACAAAAGGGAATTTAGGTTGTTGGGGAGGATACCTGGGTTTAATTGGAGGTGGAGAGTCAAAACAGGGATAAGGGAGATAAAAGAATGTGATTGGAGGTGAGGAATGTAGAGGTTAAAAGATGGCATTGTGTCTGGACGCAGCCTTGAAAGAGGTGTTACCATATTTTGATATGGGCTAAAGCCCTCAATGAATTAGAACTTGGCAACATCCCTGGAAATATACTTAATGCTTACCTCTGACAGTTGTTTTTTAAACTTATAGGGCCAAACGTCCGAACTGACCATTTTAAAATGTGAACTCGTTGTGCTGGGCCAGATGAACAGGCCGCCATTTGAAAAAACAATAATACGAGGGCTACATTTTTAAGGGTTGAGACAGTGACTATACCTACACCCACGCCAATCCATTTATCACAATCACTGGACGCGATAGACAGATTTAGGTCCCCATCATCTTTTTATAATACAGTGGTTACAACATTTGAACAGGGGGGTTGTTGGGGGTATTAAGAGCAATAGTTATAGATACTAAATCTTTAAGCCTTTTCCCACTACAATTGCAGTAAATGAGACAGAGACATGGATTCCCCCCTTGGACAATACATAGCTTAGTGATTTCAGGTTTAACTAATTTTAAAGCCTCTGTGAGTGTAGAGTATTACATATTCTATCATTTTACAGTGAGTGAAAGCCTCTCTTTAATGCTTTTCTATAAGGGTTTTACTGACGCTGGATGTCCTCACGCAGCATGTGAGGATGCCCAGCGACAGTTTGGCGACTAAAAGTCACTTAGAGGCGGTCTTAGTACTGAAATTTAATTATTTCAGTTTCTCAGAAACTGCAATGGTTTACATTGCAAGGCTAAGTGGGAACTGGACACTGCACCCAGACCACTTCAATGAAGTGTCAGTCTGTGCTAAGCTCCAGGCCTCCCCTTGAAGACCACTGGCAGAGAGATTCTTGGAGTGCAGACACATACAGCATTGCTAATGTTGTGTGTGTGCTCACTGTAAACAATGTTCCTGCAATAGATGGAAAGTAAGCCCTTTCTCTTCCAGGGGCTTTTTTTTGTGTGTGTTTGTGTGTCCAACCCTTGTCATGAGGTAGTGATATATAAATACTACTATTCATATTCTTTAACAGCCTGTTTTATTTGGGAGGCCTGTTAACTAAACAATGACTTGTGTTAACCAGATTGTGAGTATGTGTACATTTTGCAAGTCTTTTTAGCTCACTACAAGGTATTGAAGAGACCTTTGAAAGTAATCCACACAAAGTGCTTCTATCCAATAATCTAGAACATGTATTGAATGAACATTCTAAAATAAATACTTGAGGATATTATACATAGAAATTATACCTTTCAGTACTGAGTGGAGATATCCTTTGTAATGTGTCCTGGGATGTTTACAGTCTGATTCCAAAACATGTGTTTGGTTAGTTCTGTTGCAAAGTCAAACAAAATATTTATATATATATTTCCTAACAGCTTTGAATATATTTAATGCCTTAAGGACACAGCTTCCGAATCTGGACATACATTTAAGGATTTTAGTCTATTTTGAAAGTTACAGGTCACAAAATACAAGGCCTAAGATAAAAAAAATGTAATTGATATAAACCCCCAAATTATGCTTAGTTACCTCTTCTGAATAAAACAATATGCCCAATGTATGACATAGACACTATTTTGTGAAGTTATAGTGCTGTAAAAGAAATGTGACAATTTCAGATTTTCAAGTGTGAATTTTCATACATAGCTTTGGTGGCTCTGTTTTCTATTTTGGAATATTTTATTAGGCTGCTTCTTCCAAATACCCCACAAAGTCATACCATTACTTAAATAGGCCACCATAGGGTATTTCAAAAGGAATATTTTTAACCTTAGCCTGAGACACAGCCATTCCAGTTTTTTTCAAACTTAGAATTTTTACGCTGGGTCCATGTCACACTTTAGAGTTTTTTTTTTTTGCTTGCTTATTCAAACTACCCCACAAAGGTATACCATTTCTTAAAGAAGATACCCCAGGGGGTTTTGAACCTTAGCCCGGGATTATTTTTTCACTAGCCTGTGCCAAGTGTACTGTACTAAGTATTTTTTCCCTTTTCCCTAACTAGCCTAACAGTAAATCCCCCAGTGTCACGGGTTTGGGTAAATGGGCTCAGTATGCAGAGATGGAGGCGAGCACAGTCCCCAAATTAACAGGTCTTTTATTTGTAACGTAAATGCAGGTTTCATATGTAGAAAATAAAGGAACAGTAAAGTAATTATTTCAATGTGCAAATAAATGTCTTTAAAGAAAATAGAATCCTTTACCAGAGTTACTTCACTGGGTAAGGCAGTCCAAAGGAGAATCAGCGGAACAGGTTAATCCAATGCGAGGTCAAATATGCAAAAATCCAACTATCATATTATATTGTTTCTTGTATCTTCATTTCTCACTTCATAACTACTTATGTTTAAAACTAGTCTTTATGTCAGTATATATAAAAAATGTGCATTGTGTTCCCACGCCATGCCTTACTAAATCAATGTTCATTATTTTTTCGTGTGTACATGCTGTTGGGGCTTGGCAAATGCATATGTAACTGATTTTTCTTGATGCACTCAAAAATAAAGAATTTAAAAAAAAAATATGCAAAAATCCTTTAAAGTGGACTTAGCGTTGCAAGGGTTAATCTAATGCGAAGTCAAATATGCAAAAGTTTTTTTAAAGAGGAATCAGTAGGTAACAGGAACACAGGATACACAGCAAGGGTTTTCCATAAACAAAGGTAGGCAATATGCCTTAGGAGATGGATCTTTACTCCTAGGGATGAACAAAACAACTGAGCACAGAACCAAGTTTAAATAGAATCTTGGAGCAGCATGGGGGTCATGGTACACATGTCACCTGATCCACCCCTTAGTGGAGAAACACACCGGCGGACAGGAGAGGTTTGCGAGGACACTTCTGGGCGCCGCTGCGGAGTGGCAGGGAATACAGGTAAAGGAATTAGGTAGCAGACGAATCAGACCTTGAGCTGTCAGTTCAAACCCAGCCAGGTCTCTTAAAGGGGCAGCTGTCAGGATTATATTGATCCAGCACGCATAATAATATCACACCCTATAACTAAGGGCAATGTCTTACCAGACCTTAGAATGGCTGGACTTAACATATCTGAGAATAGTCAGAAAACTAGCCAAGATCAGGGAAACAGAACAAGACACAGCGATAAGGAAAAGCCAAAAGTCAAGGGTACCAGAAATCAGGGAAGTAAAAACGAAGCCAAAGTCAAAAACCAGAAAAACACGATCAGGAACACACTCTCGGATAACCATTTAAGGGAAACCACGACAGGGCACTGACCAAAAGGTAACTTAGGTTAAAATAACCCTCTTGAGGCTGTAATTGGTTGTCTCTGGCCTCTGACCCCAAAACATGCATGCGCATCTATGACGTCACATGCACGTTGGCACCATCTTTGATATGGGCAAAGGTGAGTCTCCTATTAAAACCAGAACCGCAGCGGCCGCCGTCTCTAGGAACGTCATACTCGCAGGGGACCGGAACGGAGCGGTTTGCTGCAACCAAGGTAAGTATACAATATCTCTGTCGGCGTGTTGCCATGCTGGCAGAAGAACAGGGAGCCGTGACAGCGGCCACATCTTGCTGTCTGCAGGGCTCGGGGTGCACCGTGACACCCAGTTTTCTAAATTGTGAATCGCCAGTGGCTAGAGGAACATTTGAACCCTGCTTCTAAAGATAGAAATTTCTCCAAAAATATAAAATAAAAAACACACTAATTACACTCCTACTGGGCTAGTGAAATGGAAAAAATACATCCATTTCTTTGGAAATCTGAAAGTGACAAAAAAAGAAAACAGTATTTCCTCTAAGGAAAGCAGAAGTTAAAAACCCTCACCAATCAAACTTTATAAATTAGTAGATTAAAATTCACGATAGTCAAATACTACTTGAAACGAGGAGCTGTCTCATAGATCAACAAAAACAATTGAAAGATTTACAGGATAATACATATCCCATGTATTTAATTTAATTAATAGACAGGTGAACTATAGGACTCCCTTTGAATGAGCATGTAAAAAAAAAAGCCAAAGGTGGTTCCAAAACTGTAGGGATAAGTAATTTTAGAGCAAAGATATTTAGATTGTATCATTAGATACAACATTAGAACATTAAACATTTATAACTTCCAGCTGCAGCACTCAAGTGGGCTAGAATGCTGAAAACTAACCCTCTTAAAAGGCAATTGAACTCAAAACTGAATTAGACATACTAAATCCTATCTAACTTTAGTCTTAAATATGAAATTATAAACCCTTCACAAACCTTAATACATTCTAAAACCAGACATAAATATTGTATTAAAGGGAATACACCTAATTACCAAATAATAGAGGTTAAAATCAGTAAAATCCTAATCCCGTAAACAATGGTCCATTGTACATGGTGTCCTCAAATAACATTTTCATTACTCGTTTTAACATTCCCAAATATTATTGATCTCTTGGAAAATTTTCATTACTCGTATTCTACTCAACCCGTTTCAAATTCAGAAACGAACTACAAAGGATATTTGATGCAACTATTTGTCTAAATCGAACCAAAAAGGCTCCTGAGATCATACAGAAATATGAACTTTTTCGGGCAGACTAGATGGGCCGAATGGTTCTTATCTGCCGTCACATTCTGGTTCTATGTGAGCAGCTCATTATCTAACTGCCCTGATAAATCTAAAAAAAAAATGACATAAATCACAGATAAAGCCCTCAATAGACTATACACTCAAGTCGTATATAGGAAAGGAACCTCATCAAAAACTGTCCCTTAAAGGGATACTATAGTACCAGGAATACAAAGCTGTATTCCTGGGATACAGCCACTAGAGACTGACTTACTGTTGCAAGGTAAACATTGCAGTTTCTCGGGAACTGCAAGGTTTAAAATTGCAGTAATAAGGGCAATAGAAACACTGTACCCAGACTACTTCAATTAGGTGAAGTGTACTGGGTGCCTACAGTGTCACTTAGAATTGCGTTTTCATCTGGAGCTAAACAAGATCATGCTGCCACTAGCTATATTTATATCAGAGTGAATGGCAAATAAGGCCCCCACCCCTCTGTGAGAGCTAAGCCCCATGTATGGCGATCTAATAGGAGCCTATGGGAGGTACATGACATCCTAAATACAATAAGGCTCATACAGGGAAAGGAGTGTCAAAAAATGGAGAATAAAAAGAAAAAAAGGGGGGGGGGGGAATTATTTACTAAATATTTGATTCCCTTATAGACTAAAATGAGAATATGACTGCAAATAGGTCCTAATAATCTGAACATCCATCACTACAGCAGCTACTTTAGTGTAACAAATTAAAAATAGGATTATGTTAATTATGCTGATGGAATAATGAAATTAATTCAAGTTCCTTTACTCTCTATGTAGTGGACAACTTGTTTCTATCCCAAGGGTGATTTATGACAATATAAGTTTTTAATATATCATTGGGAACCTATAAATACTATTAGAACCATAGTTCAGAATCATCCTACTCCAAGGGAAATTAAAAATTATAAAGTCATATAAGTAAAACAGTACAGTGTAAAAACAAGATATTGGTAAGACTAGCAAAAAGTAATTATTTGTTTGGAGTATTTGATGCTCAATGTAGAGTTACCCTCACTAGACGACCCTAAAAGAACCCTTATCGCATATGGGACTTCTGATGTAAAAAAATTTTTTTTAAATGTCAAATCGGCAAGTAAAAATTTAGCCCTAGTGAGCGTGCATGGACTCTCTAGGCTTGCATTTGTGAGTAATTTTTAAGGCCTAAATATACACAAACAGGAGGTGCGCTTGTGAATTAATATTAGTATAAATTCACAAGTGCACATCCTTTTTGTATATTTCCATATATTTTTCACTAATGGAAGGGAGAACAGTAATTTTGGAGTGTTTTTTCTGCTCATGTCGTTTTATGCACATATTTTGTATTAGATCGCCTTTTAATAATCACTTTTGTGTTGTAACTTTTAAGGCCTGTCTAGTAGCATAAGACTTGAAAACTTAAGCTCTACGTACAGCATTGCCCAGGAAAACCCACCATGTTTTCTAGGATTTTAATCTATTATACATGGCAGTGGGCAGTAAATGTCTGCCATTTAGTATGCAGAATAAAAAATACTCATGGCTTGTCTGTCACCGTGGTGGAGAGGTAAGTGTCCAGAACAACATGGTGGATCTGAAAACCCAACATGTAAAACGAAGTCAGAGAGAATCAAGTTACTGGGATACTAAACTATACAACATGCCAAATGATAAAGACAAAACTTTGAAAACTACAATCCAAGCTTCTTAGACAATACATGGTTAGTTAGTGTCCTTTGAATCTGCCAAAGGTGTCTAGTTCCTGACCTGAATGATTTGTGATACCTGCTGGTTATAAACAAGGTATCCTCCAAAGATATATGACTCAAGGGATTATCTGTTAAACAGTATGCTGTGATTAAGAACAATATTTCCAACTTTTAACCCAAATTGTAAAAGGTGCTTAAAGGCTCACCACCACACCATGTTTACTGTACATGTTGCTGGGGTAGACTTGGCTAACAGACGTTTGAAATCTTCATACCAGTGTTGTCTGGTCAGCCTAAAAGGGTTAATTACTAAACGTGGAGTTAGGTGAACATTGGTTTTCTATTAGAAAAGCCTTATTTTTAAGCTTCTGCAAATAAATTAAGTGTTGATAGGTTCAGTGTTGCCAATTTATAAGACAAATATTTATTTATATCAACAAGAAACTGTTTTTTTTCCTTACCATTACATATAGCAATTTTAAATATGTATTTATATGATGTGTCAGATAATAAAATAATGTTTTCTCAGAAAAGCATACAGGAAAAAAGTTACACTTGTCAATATTTGAGAAACTGTAAGATAGTCTTTGCTTTCTCAGTGTTCCAGCCTTGACTGATGAGAGGTCCTTCACATACAGAAATATACGTCTCCAGAACGTTCTCTCCTACGTCTTTAAATGCTACCAATTTATCTTGTGAGCGATCGCCAAACTCGGATCCTGTATTTGAAGATTGACAATCACTACAATATTTCAATCCCCAATAGCACATCTCTCCACAATACATCAGTGCCAAGACGTGGGTATCACTAAAAATACCTAGAAATGGGGGTGGGGGGGAGAGAAGGAAAGAAGGGCGGGGGAAAGGACAAAAACAAAAGTCAGATGGCATTAAATTTAAAATGGTTTCAAGCCAAATTACAAACATTTTCTTTTGAGAACATAAAGTCAGCGTATTAGTCTATTATAAGCATTAGCAAATCAGAAATTTAAAGGGACACTATAGGCACTATAACTATTTTACCATCACTAAATGGTTATAGTGCTTAAAGTCCCCTGGCGCGGTCCATCTATTCAGTGTTAAACCATTTTCAAGTATTTTAAGTCAGAAATAAGGGTCTCTGCCCACCCACAACTTGGCACACACTGGAGGTATGGCTAAGGCCTTGCATAGTCATACTAATTCATCCCAGCAATGACTGATACAATATGCTGAAAGTGGTAAACTGACACTCACAGCCAATCACCGCTATCCATTGCTGCTCGGGTCCAAGGCTTTCAAGTGTACAGACTAGATGATATTAACTAAATGTAATAGTGATATTTAATGACTAAATAAGTTATTATTACATGGTTTGGTAAACAGGTTAACAAACCAGCATTACAACCACTTCTCACCTCGCACAATGCAGCCTGTTTTGGAATGTTTGGCTTTACTGACATACTGAAAATGCACACTTTACTTACAAGCAATGTACAGTGTTATCCTCTAATTTCGAAGCATCTTTATTGACTTAACAGTGCATAATTCATAGTAGCTCTAGTACTATATATCAAAAGCCCCTTTTCTCTGTATCAAAACATATTTTACCTTGATATCATGAGTGTGAGTTTGTACTTTTGTTTAGATATATTTGTTTTCACTGTGGGTCTTAATTGTCTTTTTATCTACAAATGCTAATCACTGAAATTAAACAAAGACTTGAAATGCTTGTTGACCTTATACTCTGATAATTATCTACTGGGAGCAAACAGAACTGTATTTACCCTATCTATGTACTAGGCCCATTATTCACTCCTAGTCCTACTAGCTGAACACATTTTTCATTCACTCATTTATTGGAGTCTATAACTTGAATCGGGTCTCAACTTTATTCTCCTAATATGACAATTCCCCTTTAAATGAATTTTATGAAATGGTTGAACCAAATGAAAGAAGCCAAATGTAGAGAATAAAATGTTTAGTATGTGCTAAGCATGCATCATTCTTAAAGAAGCACTCCAGGTCTTGACATGTTTCAATGTGTATATTATGTGTTTTATTTTAATAATACTTACTTAAAAATAAAATAGTTTGTTTTGCTACATAAGCCCATGTTTTTTGCCTCTTCTTCTAACGAATCTGCCATTGTACTCCAGAAATACTACTGTACATAATTTGGAAGTATGAATGCGGAAATAGGGATGGAACAACCAGTAATGGCATGCATGTCACTGGTGACAAGATATGGGGTAAATAAGCACGGAAAAAAGGGACGTGTCAGCCTGTACCCAGCAGTACAACCAATGAGTAAAGAGTAAAAGTTCTTGCAGGGACTAAATGCTTTGTTTATAGACAGTTATGATGTGCTCACATTGTATTTTGGGGTAATCAGTCTCTGGTGTACCCAGAAATGGAATATCACAGACCAAAAGTCGAAAAGGACTCCAAAATCAGGACTGTCTAACCAAATGTGCAAAATTTAAAAGGTCTGCATGATATAATGACTATATGACGGCATTAGTAAATGGACCCATGAACTTCTTATAGAGTAGATTCAACAATAAAGGATTACGCCAAGAACCATGACCATTTCTGTGACTTCAAGTCGTTATGGTGCCTGGTTTTGGCTTGAATATCCCTTTAATTGAAAATATTTGGGTGAGTCACTTCACACTTTTTTTTTTGGCACTTTGACACTTTTACATAGAATGTATTAATACATACATGTTAATGACTATAGAGCTTAGAGTGCCCCTTATAATGTGACAGGTTTTTTCCAGGGGTTGACAGATCTATTATTCCAGATTAATTTTTTTTTTTACCAAATACTTGCAATATATTAATGAAAGCTCTTCCTCCACACTAATTTTATTCCCAGTTAATAATTTGTGAAACAGCTGTAAGATGAACACTAAAGACCAGCACTATAACAAATAGTGTTACTTGGGCCATGTTTCAGTACTCTGTGATCATTTCTGTGCAACCCATCTCCCATTTTTGCACTAGTTAAAGGTTTCTATATGTAAACAGTGTACGTTACCTTGACTAAGTAGAGTTGCAGTATTTAAATCTTGAAATGAAACGTCATCATTCAGAACCAAAGGGCTTTGCATCTTTAGCATTTTCATCAGATGAGAAACTCCATCTATAAGACACTGATATCAATGACATTGTAATATTTAGTAAAGATAAAAGGGACCCTGCGAACACACCCTAGAACAGGCATAGGCAACCTTCGGCACTCCAGATGTTTTGAACTACACCTCCCATAATGCGTTGCCAGCATTATGGATGTAAGAGCATTATGGTGGATGTAGTCCACAACATCTGGAGTGCTGTAGGTTGCCTACCCCTGCCCTAGAATGACATCCATGCATCGCATATAGCATTATCTTGTTTTCTGGGTGATCACATTAACCTTTCCTTGATGTTAGTAGTTTATCTCTTAGATTTACATTCAAGATGTTCAATATTTAACATACCTTCTATCAGTGTGTGGAAAATATACTGGTTTAATGTGGTTTGCACTATCCCTGTCTGAATCTGAAAATTACTTTCGCTGTCCTCCCCTTCTTTGTTTTGAAAAGCTCTAACTCATTGTTTGGGGGCAAAAAGGCACATTTTAAATTTTAGAAAAAAGTAGGTATCTTTTTTTAAAAGGGCACATGCAATGATGCATACTATATTGATAAAAACAAAGAGATGAGCTTAAACATATATTTGTGAAAGGGATATGTTAAGCGTTTATATAGATAATAAGAGTTATATAGTAACTCATTAATGCTGCTAATGTAAAAGTAACAGTGATGGATGAGGCTTCCCGAATGACAACATGCATTCAACAGACAAAGCAGGCTACATAAAAAAAAATGTACAGGCATATACCGTATGCTTGTCTGATGCCCCCTAGTGGTGAACCTTTTATATTTAGTAAAGGCAAGTATGAATATTTTTTTTTAAAGGGACACTACAGGCACCCAGATCATTTCATCTGATTAATAAAGAGCTTACCTGTTGAAATGTTCTAGGATTTCTAAGATGCCAACACTCTCTTTCACCGACTGTCTGGCAATACATGTAGAGCAGAGCTCCTCTCCTCCAATACAGGCATTCTAACACCTCCACTTCAATAGCAGGGGCCTATAAAAGGTAGATAGATGTGTTTCTTTGTATATATATTTATTTATATGAAGCCACTTTTCAATAAACACGTATAAGCTGACTTAGGCTATTCTCCTAATATTTGGCATTTTGTCCTTCATGGTGCATGGGCATCTTAAGCAGATCTAGCTTTGATAATAAATGAATAAACTATGTCCAGCCTGCATATGTTCTTCAAAAGTTCCTCTAGAAAATAACCTTATCGGAAACAAGCTGGGGTATCAATTCAAGTCGATGTCACACGCATAGTTAGTTGAGTAGAATGGTACATAGCAGAATGACCAGATATGGAATAATTGGTTGCTGTCATTGTTATGTCTCCTAGGCTGTCTGGGCACCATCCCTTGATTTAACATTAAACTGTTTAATAACTGTAAGATGTGAATTAATTCCAGTGCCTAGAGATCGCTCCCCAAAGTGACACTGACAATAGCATTAGAGTGGTATGGGTATGTCATTAAGGACATGAGCTAGGGTTAGTTATGTGAGCTTAGAAATTAGGAATAGAGGGTCACAGTAGGTGCTAACTCGAATGCAATCAATACACACAAAAAAAAAACCAATAATATAAAACAGAAAAACTATAATAATGACATTCCCATGTATAGTAGTATTTTTTCAATGATCTTTAAGAATCAACCAACAGGAGAGAATGCGCATACCACTCTTTAGTTAGAAAGCACCATGGAACCACAGTAACTATTTACATGGACAGGATAATCACACACAAAGGGCCAGCCTCTGTAACATCCAATGTGTGCTTGTTTTCCTGTGCTCATTAAAACTATTATGATCCACCCAAAATGATTTAGTTCTGTCTGGATATGGTCTTTATGTATATGATCAGCAGGCTCTAAAGAACCAAATATCTGTAATAGCACAGATCTGTACATAGTCGTTATTGTTGGGGAAAATAAAGAGCAAATAATAAGAGTAAAAGAACCAATAAAAGGCAGCCAGAGCATTTCATCTCAATAAAGTAGTCTGGGTGCACTGGTTAGTTTTAACCCTGCAATGTAAATAGTTGCTGTTTAGTAGATACCTCTATGCTTACATCCAGAGTTAAATACACCACTAGTGGCTGTCCACCTGAGGCCTTTCTGTTGTGAGAATTTGGATAGTCAAATTTGGTTCTCTCAGCTAACCTTCCAAAAATAATCTAAACTAGTATGTGCGCTCCTTAATAATACTGTTGATATATGACCAATGACAAGCAATGTCTCTCAAAAGACATTTATTTAATAATAAAAAAGAATTAAAAACAATTACTGATTTAATTATTCATTATTATTATTTTTTATTATTAAATAAATGTCTTTTGAGAGACATTGCTTGTCATTGGTCATATATCAAACAATATTATTAAGGAGCGCACATACTAGTTTAGATTATTTTAGGGATTTTCGTTTAAGTCGCTTTTATACTATGTAGCAGCCCACATTCATTTTTAATTCACCACTATAGTTACCTACAACTTACCTTTTTGTCTCACAGCTAACCTCCAAAAGCAGAAAAGTCCTGCAGCAAACGTGCTTCTAGTCCCAAATGCTACTCCATGCGGAGCATTAGACTGGAATTTTAGAAGCATTGGCGAGATGTCACGGGAGGCAGGTCGAACAAATGCAAGGACATTATTGCAATGCTGGAAAAAAAGGTTAAAAAAAAACAACCTTTTTCCCACAATCTTTATTGCTATCTTAGAGGGGGGCCCTGAATCTAAACAAAGAGGGAAACACAATAGCGTTAGGAATACAGGTTTGTATTCGCAACGCTGTAGTATTCCTTTAAAGAAAAAAAGAATGAAACAAAGGTAAGAAAAAAACATAAACCTCAGATCAATATACCTTACAGAAGTAATTTCATAAAGGGTTACTCCAAGCATCCTAACCCCTACAGCCCACTGACCCTGTTTCCCGCAATGGTTTGGCCTTACCTGGGTCTCCGCCTGGCTACCATGCTTCCTGGTGGTCCAGCGACGTGCTTACTGCTTCTACTGCAAAAGCCACGGCCATCACCATTCATTTGTTGCGAGCATCAGCTGACCACTCTCAATAAATGCAATTCTTTGCAAAAAAATGTTGCACAAAATTAACATTAGCCATCCCAGCACCAGAGGGCAGCAGAGGAGTTAAACTCCTTTAAAATGAATACTGCACCTACAGTTTCCAGGCACCAGAACCACTTCAAATCACTGAAGTGATCATGTTGCTTCGAGTAACCCTTTAAGGGACCAGTGAAATCTGTGTTTAAAATCCAGCATATTGAAGACTGAGAACTTACTTTTTTGTGGAGTTTAGCATCTCTAGCTAAACGTTCTGGCTCTGAAAGATCCCGAATAAGTTCTCCAACTTTCTGCAAAGCATCATCACATACAAAATCTTCATCCACCAGTTGGTTTTCCTCATAAAAAGTGATATCTAAAATAGCCTATAAATAAACAAAACAGAGACACTAGTGTTAAAATTCATAATAAACACACCAGCTGAGGGCACTCACAAATCGTGACAAGAACACGCCTGGACACAGATATTGGACTGAGGTCCTGTATGCGGCTCACCAAGAGACGTATGAATCGGCTGGGCGGGACTGCACTCCGGCCCTAGGTTGATCGGGAGAAATTAAGTGGGCCACCCGTAAACAATCTGCACGGAAAACGGGACATTATCTGTATAGGCTGAACCAGAAGCTCAAATACCGCAATTTAGCGATACCTTGAACACAAGCTGATGCCACTCTCCTACTCATTGCCTAACACAGTGGTATTTGTTTCTCCTGTTTTTATATGTTTAAGTTCACGTTTCTAACCAGTGGCAAAACAGCATGTTATTCTCTGCCTGGTGCTCATGTTATTTTTTGCTATGCTATACTATTAAGCCTAACAATAGGTCAGTTACCTAGCCTGCTTACATTGATGCCCATACCCAGGGCCGCCATCAGGGAGTGACAACCATAAACTGTCAGTTTTAAAAGGACTCACATCTCTCGTGCTCTGAAATAAAAAAAAAATGTCTAATGTGTAAATTTTACCTTGCTATAAAAATTCAGAAAACATGAAATATCGAACTTCTCTGTTTCGTCCAATGAAAGGTCTTTCAGTTTTTGCAGTGTAGTCTTGGCTTTCATTAAAATAGGATCTAGGAAATCAAAATATTGCTTTGGTCATGCTATGTAAACCCCATTACATCCTGAATGAAAGGTACCTAATGTAAGAAGCACAAAGCTCAAAGCAATAAAGAACATTTATTCCTTCAATGTATTTTAAAGATCATGTAAGATAGCTTAAAGGATTACTCCAAACACCATGACTACTTCAATGTGTCAAACTGGTTATGGTGCAAGGATTCTGTATGTGTAGTGTTTTAGCATGAAATATTAGACAAATTAAATAGAGATATTTTGGTTAACTGCCGAGGCTGTAATTCCACTTCAGGCTTGAATGAGAATTCTGAGCTGGCTAATGTCAATTCTGTGCATATCACATGCTCGAAGTTTCATTGATTGGCTGAGAGCAGTTAGCTGACACTGTCACCAATGAAAGAACAATCAGAATCAGAACTTACAAAATACTGAAAGAATACAATTTAGGTGTAAACACTTATCCAAATCACAATTTAACTAAACTCTAATAAAAAAACAGCAAACATAAAAATGCTTACTCCACCGGAACAACAAAGCACATATGCTATAAAATGCCACCACTAAATGAAAGGATTACTCCATCCCTTTAGTTAATGTCTGTGTTTATGATGTATTTTGCCCTATTGGGGCTAAATTTCCCCTTTCACTATAAAATAAAGTTATAAACTTTCCAGGAATCCAGCGCCTGGAGAAGCTCCCGATGTGACTTTCCATACCTCCATGTTACATCAGGGCAGCAACACGTCCAATCAAAGGCTTGTCATTCAGACTTCTACCGCTATGACAACATTAAACTCACAGGTTTCATTGTGGGTGACACTGCTCATATGGAGAATGCACACACTATATATTTGATAGATGAAGTTTACTAGTTTCATGTACCTTCATATATACCTAAACCCTCCAACAGTATAAAGGAACATTTACAAAGATCTGTGAATAAAATATGCAAACTTTGTTTCTCACGAACAACACCTCGCATGTTGTGAGTTTTATGATCATTGTCTCATCTAACCCTGCAGTCACTGACAAACACCCCCAGAGATATTTTTCAAACTCACTGTAGCCTGGTCATTCTAAGCCATTGCTGTCCACTGGGATATAACCTAGTGCACTAGTTCTGACTTGGAAAGTACTGAGCACTCAGGCCCCCATGCCATGCTTGCAAAGGCTCTGAAAAACTCCTGCCTGTTGTCTTGCTACTGCAGAACTATTCACGTAGACATCCCAACTAGAATGATTTGGCGCTGCAGACCACAAAGCCTATGCCATTGGTCAAGAGGGGAATTGCCCACAGCCCTCCGTGACAGCTCTTCCATAGCAAAGAGGCATCCTATCATCTATAGACATGGATATGCAACATCAAACAAAGTCATGGAGAAAATGAGCCACCCTATACAACTTACGTGAAACCGCAAAACCGACATTCTTTTTTATTTTCTCAGAAACGGGCACAGATGATAAAATTTGAACCCCACTAGTTCTTGAAGATTCATATTTAAGCCCGCAGCTAATGCACTGCAGAGCGTAGATCTTCTGTTGAGGAACTTCTGTTTCTTGAGAGATGGTAGCAGAGGCAGGGAGCGGTGCCCAGGGCGAATAAGGGTGTTTCATAATTACTACAGTTTGCTAATATAGTTATGGTGCTTGGAGTGTTCCTTTAACTTTACAGCAGAACCTCACCTATATTTTTTTATTTCACTGCACTGCAACTTTATTATTAATATATTTTTTTCCACAAAAGCTTCCAAGAGCAGTATTAGAAATATTTGGAAGAATATTGATGCTGTCAGCTCACTGCATTCAAATCACCAGAGAGGAATAAGGTCAGCAAATGAACCAGAAAGACAAATCAGGTTTTTCTCTTATAGATTATGTGATTGGCCTTCTCACTTTCTATGCAAAATATCAAGCTGTAATTTTCTGTTTTGAAACAGGTAAGTGAGATGTAATTGTGCCATTTTACATTTTTGCTAGAATTAAAGTAGAAAGTGGAGTACATACATACAGTTAGTGAATAGATAATGGGGGAAACAAACGGGCCGATCTTGCACATTCATTTATTTAATTTAATTTAATATATTTTAAAGACAAGACAATCATCTTCAATTCTAAGCATTTTCCCTAGTAAAATAAAAGTAATGTAAAAATAAAAATACATCAAGCTTCGAAAATGAATGGCAGTAAATGATATACAATGCAATCTGCAATAAAATAAAATAAATAAACAACACAAAAAGACAGCACGTAATTATGACAATGCTATGGAGAAACATTATCCTTACATGATGTTTACAACATACAGTGATATGCCCACACTTTGAGACTGACAGGAAGTCTTACAAAGAATAATTAAGTAAATGTATATGTCCGTGAGCCCCTGAGGGTGTATAATGATCGTTCATGGTCTCACCATCCCCAGTTCCGGTACAGAGGCTCTCACACCTATGCTGCAAAAGATCCACTTTCTGCTTCCAGATACTGCTGCTGGAAGCGGCCATGTTGAGTCGTGTCAGGTGACTTCGGTCATGTGATCTCAAGACCGGTGGCTTCATGCTTGTGTACTGTAGTCATGGCTTACATGGAGCACTAGGAGGTGTAATGATTTTATTAGTTCGT